CAGTAAATGGGAGTTTGCCACACTGACGGTTTTGTGTGTTTCTGAATGAGTTACACTGAGGAATCAGTATACTTCAGTGCGTCACCCTGAAACGGATTTGACCGGCCGGGGGAAAGGGGGGGGGGGGGGGGCGACGCGTGTACAGGCTGTTCCTTCGCGTGATTCACGAAACCCCACACACACTTGGAATCTTCTCACATGCGCTGTATTTACAGCTAGTGCGCGCCGAACCGTTTTGCCGTGCTGGAAGCCAGAATACCAGAGAACGGCTAACCTAGTTCACAACTGCCCAATGAGAACACAGACAACACACCACTGGTGGCAGGGTCCACGCCAACACGCCAGGGATGGCAGAGTGGAGTGGGGGTGTTGTCATCTTGCCTGGGAAGACGGAAACCCTGGCCTGGACCAAGATCCCTCGTCATCGCAGCTCGGGAGAGGGGGTACCCCCATCTGCTCCCTCATTCTGTTCCTACACTCCTCGTGAACCCCTGCAGGTTGTGATGTTCGAGCTGAAGCAGGAGTAGCTTCTCCCTCAAGCTCGGCATGCTCTGCAGCGCTGAGCAGCCATGGCGGTTTCGACGCCCGCAGGTGACGGCCCTCCGCCCGTCGCAGGCACGAGGCCAGCCGCTATTACTGGCTTAGACTTTTTACGACGCGTTCACGCTGCTCCCGCGTTAGTCCCGCTGTCAGCTCAAGCCGTGCCGTTCCCTTCCACTGGCCCCGAGGCACCTACCATCTGGACGCAGGGCGAGTGTTCGACGCATGTAGGCGCTGCCGCTTCACCTCCTGTCGCTGCTGCATCAACTCGTGTCGCTGCCGCATCAACGCCTGTTGCTGCCGCATCAACGCCTGCCGCTGCCGCATCAACTCCTGACGCTGTCGGATCTACACCTGCCGCTCCCGAACCCACACGGAACCGTCAACCTGTCGCTGCCGGAACTACTCGGCAAGGTCCTCGTCTTAAAAGGGGTATTAAAGTGAGGTACCACCAGACCAAGATCGGGTGGGGTTCCAGTCAAGCTACACCAACGTCCGGTGTGGGTAACTCTTCCCCGAAGGCTCGTCAGCGTAAAATGAAGGGGAAAGCGGTTGAGGTGTCTTCCGATACAGAACTGCCCGACATTTCCGAGGAGAAATACCAAGAGGCTTTAGCTATGTTTAACAAACAATGGTCTGACGACTACCCGTGGCTTGTACTGCTGCAGAATAAAGCAGGGTTCCCGTCAATCAAGTGCAAGGTCTGCATTGCGCACGCCGGTACGGGGACGAACTTCGGCGCCAAAGGAGAAGGGGCGACCGATGTTCAGACTCAGGCGATGCGGAAGCATCAGCGCACAAGGAAGCACCGCCGCGCTGTGTGCAGACAGAAGACAGCCGAGGCGGCTCTCAAAGCAAATGCCCGTATTGACGACAACCCGAATGTGAAAGACATGGAGAAGGAGCGCCTGCTCGCGCTGTTTCAGACGGCGCTCTTCATCGCTAAGTCCGACGCCCCGATCGAGATGTACGTGGACCTCGTCCAACACCTGGCGCAGCGTGGCACCCCGGGCTTCCCAAAGAACAGTTATGGTGCGTACTATACGACGTAAGTGACACTGCTCTTGTTCAACTGGCAGCGGGTTGTGATGTACTTGCAGCTATCTCTGACCCCACCCGTTGATGCCCGTGCAGGTACGGATTCGAGGAGATAACCGCCGCAATAGCGACATACCTTCGTGCGCGCCAGAGAGAATTCATCAACTCGAGTCCATTTATTGGTCTGACCTGCGACGAGAGTACGGACCGCGTCAAAGGCAAGCACATGATTGTGTTTGCAACCTTTCTACGTGAGCACGCCATCACCACAGAGTTCCTAACTAACCTCTCCATCGAGAAGTGTGATGCAGCTTCTCTTTTTTCTAAGCTCACGGAATTCCTTGACAGTATCAACCTCCTGCTGGAGAAGGTTGCGGGTATCAGCACCGATGGGGCACCTGTGATGATAGGCAACGACACGGGCCTCGTTGGGCACCTTCGCCTGGAGATCCCGCACGTGGTGGCTTGTCACTGCATCGCACACAGGTAAGCTGATGCTGTGGTGGTGTTGTAGCAGTGTGAAATGTGCAACGTGGCAGTGCGAATTCTAACACCTCCACCTGTGCTTTCCTACCCGTGGCAGGGAGGCGCTTGCTGCAAAGGAGGCGGCTAAGGCACTGCCCGAGCTTGGCATCATTGACGCGGTCATCCGCGCATTGGCGGAAGATCTAGGCAGATCCAGCAACTACAACCGCAAGTTCAAGGAGCTACAGGAGGTGTTCACGCACACCAACCTCGAGGTCCAGGGGATCCACTCGGTCCGCTGGTTGAGTCGGGGCGATGCTATCGCCCGATTCGTCCGCGTTTTCCCTGCGGTCATCGTCATGCTCGAGGAGACGGACAAGACGATGTACCAGTTGGTGACGTCGTTCAAGTTTCATTTTTTTCTGTTCTTCTTGGCAGATGTGCACACGGCACTCAACGCGCTCAACTTGCTATTCCAGAAGCGTCAGGTGAGGTGTTGAGTTACGTAGTGCTTTTCTCATCTTCTAAACCCAGTTACTTATCTTTTGTTTCGGTGTACCTACTCTCCCCCTACCAACAGGTTGACCTCACTGCAGTGCACTCCCAGGTGAGGCGGACCATCATTTACATGGAGCAGCGGTACCTGCACTGTGGCCAGCAGTTTGGCGGTGGGACCAGTGAGCTGCTGTCTGCATTCCTCGCGTGGCACGCCTCCCCGGACTGCCGTGAAGTGACTGTGGAGGGGGTGGACAAGGATGGTGAGGCCCGGGTACACAAGTTCGACCTGCACGAGGAGGCCGTGAAGGGATACACCACCAGCAGCGGGGACATGCAAGGCTGCTACACCTGCTGCCGCTCCTTCGCCCGCGAGCTGGTGTACAACCTCGAGCTGCGCTTGGGAGACCTGACGCGCTTGAACGGGGCGAAGATCTTCATGCCCCGCTCGTGGCCGAGGGGCGCCGAGGCTAGAGACGCCGAGTGCAAGGAGCACCTGCACGGCCTCGTCCATCTGTTCCAGGCCAAGAACCGGGACACGATCTTGCCAGGTGAGCTAGAGACGGAACCCCTATGCTCTGTGTGTATGCGTAGCCGTTTCCGTGGTTGCGTTATTGCCATGTTGAGAGCTTGACTTTCTACCCGGTTGTGCTCTCCTGTTTGGCAGGTGTCCAGAAGCGTGCAGCTCGAGCGGAGCTGCGCACGTTCCTGCCGGTGCTCTCCACTGCGCCCAAGGAAGAGCAGCCCTTTCACGCAGGCTTGAAGGCCATTTTGCAGACCAGCGACTGGCAAACCAGCTACCCCAACCTAGTCCGTGTGTGGGCTGCCGTCGTTGTACTGCCGCTCAGCACAGTCGAGTGCGAGCGCGGGTTTTCCCGCCAGAATGTGATAAAGTCGTGGCGCCGGACGAGTCTCTGCAACGCCAAGCTGGGAGATTTGATGGCGATTTCGCTGCTCGACTACGACATGGACTGGGACAAGGTGGTGGACATCTGGCGGAGTACCAGGAACAGGCGCCCCAGCAAGCGCAAGGAGCAAGCTGCGCCAGAGAAGGAGCGGGCCAAGGCCAAGTTTGTTAAGGGGAGTGGCCGCCGGCTGGTGCAGGTGGAGGAGGAGCTAGATGAGGGCATGAGTGGTTCTGCAGGCGATGACAGTGAGAGTGATGATGATGGCAGCAGTAGAAGTAGCGTTTCTTCTTCAGATGATGACATGAGCTAGTTCTCTAGTAGAACTAGTTAGGTAGGTTAGGTTAGGTATATTTATTTTGGACTTTTTTACACTGAAGGATCAGTACAGTGGAAAATTTTACCCTGACAGGATCAGTATATTGAAAACCACCAACGCTGATTTGGACACCTGGTTGGCAGGGGCACGCTGATCCATCAGCATACCCTCAAACCAATCTGAGGGCCTGATGTGAGGGCAAAGTAAGTTGATTAAAACAAGCAAATACAAGGTTTTATATAAGAGTACAAGGAATACGAAGGGATACAGTTAATAACTGTTTTGCTGTTGCTGTTGCGGTTCGATACAGTGACGACTCGGGCAACTGCTCTGTAACGAGTCAGTTGTGTGTCCTTGCTGTCGAGCTGTATTTGTCAGGTCAAAGGTCGCTGACCTTTGACTTTCGCGTAACCTCCAGCGGTTACTTCAACCTCCGAGAGTTGACTCGCTGGTGCCTCGGTATGCAGTGCTTCGCTTGTGCCTTAGTGTTTCGACACGACAGAGGCACTTAGAACCGATTGTTTCCAACAACACTCACCGTTGCCACCAGCAGCGCCAAGTGGAAAATCCCACGCTCCCGGACGGCAAGCGCGCCAAGCTGAGCGGCAAACTGAGTTCCAACGGCAAGAAGGGCAGCTTCTGTTTGCTTTTCCTCCCTTTCTCCTCGGTGTCAACCACGAGACGACCGGCGCTTGGCTAAGTGCCACTATTTGACAGCGGGTAACGGACAGACTTACAAGCAGCTGGTGGATTCTATGCTGGCTGCTCCTGACTCTTACCGTAGTAGTAGTACCAAGAGATTCATTGGTCCAATCAAGGTAAAGAAATCATGAATGCGTTTCAGAACAGGGGTCTCTTATAAGAGGAGAGATACCTCTTTGTTGTCCTCTCCTTAGGGTACATTCCGGTTTAGACGTGTCCCAAAACTTCGCTTCACAATTGGTTCTACCTCATTGTATTATTACACCAAATTACACCCTAGTATCGAACATTGCCAAAATTTTCGCGTCTGTGGTTTAGTTCGGGTTGGAGCAGTACATTCGATTGGGACACGTACTTTTGGGACATGTCTAGGCCGGAATGTACTTATTTGAATCCTCCTCCCCATCCATCCCCTTCCTCTCCATGTATGGGTATGCCGCATGGACGTGAGTGCTGGCCACTAGCATGGGGGATGTCACCACGCCACCATCAGATCAGAGCCATGGAGGAGAGAACAGTTTGTATGGCGAAATCCCCTACTCTGCCTTCCTTCGATCCAAATCCTTCTTTTCCACATACGGGTATGCTGCATGCATGTGGGTGCTGGCCACTACCAAGGGGAACGCCAGCCACACCAGCAGCGGGGGAGGCTCCCCTTCAAGGAGAAGCTGTGCTGCTGCCGTCACCAGCAGCGCTATTATCATCACGAAACCCTGGCGAATGGGGGAGGGGAGGAGTGAGAGACGAGGCGGATGGGAAGAGGGACGGATTGCAGTGGATTGTGGGGCACGTGGGGGGAAGGAGGGAGGAAGAGAGGAGGAGAGAGGGGAGAAGACAGGAGCGTGGCGAAGGCAGGAGGGGGACAAAGTGTACTGAGTGTAGGCACGCACAAACGCGTACGCACAAATGCGCCACGGCAATGCACGGACGGAGCCACGCGTACCTTTTTAAGTCCCCCAGATACCTGCACCACCACCCCAACCAGAATGCCTGCCAGTGCGTTGGTCAGTATGGGCACCTGCAGAGGGGGGAGGGGGGAGCCAGGAAAGGAGAAAAAGAGTGGAGGGAAGAAAGTCACAAAAACTGCACTCGAGGAGAAAGAGCAAGAGAAAGAACGAGTGGAATGCCTGTGCTGGCCGGATCGAATGAGAGACTCGAAGCAAAAGACAATACGGGTAAACTGTTGAGAGAGCATGCCATGGTATGAGGCTCACATAGCATGCCACACGATGGCACGCAAAACGAGCGAAACGGGATGGGAATCATGTGTGAGGAATCATGTGTGAGGAAGATGCGGCATTGCTAGTGTCTAAGAACGAGGTGAATGTCACGCACTGTGGAGAGGAGGGTCCAGGCGTGGAAGAACCCGAGCTGCCTCATGCGTACGGCGTCGTGCGATGATGGGAACAGCAGGAGAGAGGCGAGGAGGAGGCAGAAGCTGAACGACGACATCTCAATGGTCATCAGGTAGGAGCTGCGGCCCTTTACCTGCGGGTGAAGCAGCAAGAAGAGAGGGCACATAGAGGGGTTGGGGGAGGAAGCAGGCGAGCAAACGGGAATGGGGAAGGGAGAGAGAGAGGAGAGGGGGAGGCAGAAGCTGAAGGAGGACATCTCGATGGTCATCAGGTAGGAGCTGCGGCCCTTCACCTGCGGGAGATGAGAGAACGGGAAGGAAGGGGGGGGTGAGGAAGAGAGGCAGAGAGGAGAAGAGGAGGCAGAGATTAGAAGAGGAGGAGGCAGAAGCTGAACACGACATCTCGATGGTCAGCAAGTAGGAGCTGCGGCCCTTCACCTGTGGGAGATGAGAGAACGGGAAGTGGGAAGGGAGAGCGAGGTGCAGAGAGGCTCTCGAATAAGCCATCAGGTGCAACAGGATGAGGAAGGCGAGGTACAGGGGGGTGTACAGCGCCACAATAGAAGTACAAGCGGGACGCTAGGAGGAGGAAGCACAACCTGATTTTTTTAGAATTCTCAAGAACCAGCTCGTATCGGATGAGGAAGGCGGGGTACAGGGGGTTGTACAGCGCCACGATGGAAGGACAAGCATGACGGTAGGAGGAGAAAGCACAACCTGAGAGGAAATACCTGGGATACCCACTGCCAGCACCGGATTTTCCTTTTTGGCGACTCAAAAATCACCTCAGGAGGTAGAAGGTGAGAGGACGTACCTGGGAGATCCACTGGCAGTACATGGACCCGAACCCAGAGGTGACAGACGCTGCCAGCATGGGAACCACTCCAAACACCACGGACGCCGCTAGACTCTCCGTCAGCCCTCCACTCCCTCCTTTTCTTTCTCCGCCTCCCTCTCCCGCCCCCTTCCCCCCCCAGAGGGAGAGTTGCACATGGTCGGCGATGGAGAGGAGCACAGCTGCTACGAGCATGGCGAGCAGGGCCAAGACCTGCCGGACGGACTGCTTCTGCCTGCAGAAAGAGATGTGTGTATGTATATGGGACAACGGCCACTGGTTGAAAGGACGGTGAGAGGAATTTACATGTACACCGACACCTATTTGAAGTACTTTCAGCTACACATTCACTATCCACCTGAGGTACAACCTGACGAATTTGGACAATAGGGATAGTATCTGGATAAGAGTGCAGCCACTGCCACACGTTACGTGAAGATGATATGAGGAGGATGAAATCAAAATTGAGGAGAAAATTACCTGAGGAAAATGAAGTTGAAGAGGGCGGTGAAGAGAAGCTTCGTCTGGGACAGCATGGCGAAGGTGACCGGGTGCAGGTGGCGATAAGCGATGTTGATAAGCACGTTCTGCACCGTGTACACGAAGGCCGGCACCATGGAGCCCTGCAGGAACTCTTTTATTCGCCAGCTACGCCATAACCGCCAGGCGGATCCGTCTAGAAGCACCACAGCGAGAGAACAGATGATCTGTATGGAGATTGGAAGCGACAAAGGACGTGAGTTAGTGATGCTGACGCTGAACTGAACCGCAACACCAAAACATGGGATGGAGACACCAGGAGACGCCCAGGAGAAAGCACAGGGGAACGCACAGGCGGAAGCACCAGAGTGAAGTGGACTTTATGTAACCCACCTTGGCGACGTCGACAGCCATAACTTGGCTGACTATGATGACGTCAGCGCTGGCTTGTGGGTGAATAAGACATCAGAAGAACGAGAAATGAGATGTTTCAGTCAATGAAAGGAGGCAAATTGTGTGTTCATTCCATGACAAGCTCGATATGACGTGAATGCCTCGAGTTTTACGTCATTTATGAGGCGTCAGGAGCAACTAGACAGATACCGAATGAAGCATCTTTAGACAATCACATGGTGTAGGCAAACCGTATAGTCTTTCCAGAGTGGATCTCCAGATCTAAGAGGGGTTTCACGACTCGCCACGTGTCAAGAGCGGAAGGACAGTTACCTTAAACATTTCCGCATGATCACAGGCTGCAGGCCGTACAGCGTCGCCAGCATGGACATCCAGATCCATCCATGGCTGCTCGTGGTTCCAGAACTTGCTGCCTTATTCATTCTACTATTGTCATCGTTGTTTCCGTTTTCTCCACGCGAACGGAGATCAGATGATGCTGGTGTGAGAGCGGCACCTCCAGGGTCTTTGCGAATTCGGCGTTCCATTGTCGGGACTAATGTAGCATTCAGTGCGGAATCCAGAACAGGAAGAAACAACTAGAGACACGTGATCCAGTTCTTTCAAAGCTTATTCTCACGAAGGGCGCCTTGCGAACATGATGGTTCGACTTCTTATGGAGCAATAATCGATTTACTGATCAGAGATGGATTCGGATCGCCGTAATGAATAAAATAGCGATCAGCGTCAACGAAGCCACTATTCACTTATCCATGAACAGAAACACCGTCATCCACCAAGCTGTTCTCAGAAACACACCAACACAACGAAATGAGCGACATTCCCAAGACACGGTTCTCGAGGTGAATGCTCTGTGACTCGCCCCGCTGCGAATTCAACAAGAGCTGTCCCCGATTGAATTCGAGAATTTTCACACGTGAAAAAAGGTAACGGATTACACCTTAGAAATGACGGGGCATATAAGGTTTATGTTTGTTTTTCATTTTACGGATTTCTGTTGGGTGCTAGCGCTCGTTACAGGGTCATCCTTGGGCTCGTCGATCCCTCCCTTTCCCAGCAGATCTCCAGGACGGACCGTTCAGATTACGCATCGGCTCCATGCTTTCAGGGTCCAAAGAAATTCCATTATCGCACATCTGCGTCTCCCAACCAGCACATCTGCTGTAGAATCCTTTCCTCGATTCCATCGCCACCGCTTCCCATTCACCAACCAACCCACTTTTCTCCATGTGCTGGTTGGGGTGTCGGAAGAGTTCACTATAATACGGTTCGGTGATTTTTTATGCGTTGAAGAACGGTTGGAGGGGTTTTGTTTCAGCGATGATAATGAGCTGCTGATGTTATGTGTGATATGCTCCGTTCCCTATTCTCTGCAGATTCCAAATCCTTGGCAAGGTCTAGGTTGAGTAAGCATCTCCACTTTGCCATCACTTCAGCATAATAAAGTCACGGCTGCATTCATTGCGTAAGCGCGTTTACCAGGAATATCTACTGCTGGCCTCCTTTTGATGCTAGCAGCTGTTAGACTCTAGCTCTCCCACAAAAACGGATCTGTTCGTATACTGACAAATTAGCTTATAAATCCGAATAGCGTCTGTGATATAGCCATTTGAGATTTGTCCGCTGAAATACAGCGGTCGCTTGGTTCCTTGTACCGTGATTGGTTTCTAGACACGAGGCCAGATGGCGGATCAAGAAGCTCCTGGTTGGCGGGAAAAGGCAGGGGCTTTCATATCCTCTTCCTGTAAGTGTGTTTCCCGCATTGAGGATAATGTCGATTGGTACGATCGCATACAGTTCGTCAGCGGCATCCTTAAAATGTGATCAACGAAACGCCTGGAATTTTTCTTTCATGAGCTTCGTCTTAAGCATTGCGATTCCTTTCAGTTGTTTCTCGGTCTTTTAACTCACATGTCGAAGGCCTTGCTCTGAGCAGCGAATCTTGGTATTGAGATACATTTCTCTTTTCAATCTTCCTTATTTTTTTCCCACGGGACATCGGAAACTCTTTCACAGCTTTCAAGCTGAAAGCAGCGGGATCAGCCGTCGCAGGCGCTGCTGGCGAAGCAGGATCCAAGGTGAAGACCTCATGGCAGCAGAACGTGCAGCCGAAAGTCGCAGAGGCGGCGACTCGCGCAGCCGTCGCAGCGGAAGGAGCGAAATCGCGAATGCACACCACGTGGGAGTCGACCAAGGAGAGCTGGAACACGAAAGTGCTTCCGAGAATGGAGGCCGGGCTGGAAACGACGGCTCGCGTGGCGGCTGACACCGGATCGATGCTGAAGCAGGGGCTGATGGAGACGACGGAGAAAGTCAAGGCCAGTCGCGTCGGTCAACAGCTCACTGAGGTATGTAGGCTCACTGGGGAGAGGTTCTCAAAAGAAGCGAGATCGTCAATGTGAAGATTTCTCAGATGCGAGATGTTCATAAGGGGATCCTGTGGGTGGAACGGTTGTGAGAGTCAGAGAATCAAGGATTGATGAGAGGGGGCTTAGAGGAGGGAACCACAGGTTTCAGCGATATGGACCCCGCAGTGACGCTCTCTCAGACTGGAATTGCTGAGGCACAATGCTCAGAGTTCGCTCAGTGTCAAGCATGTCCGATTGATTGTCTTACGCCATATCTACCTGATAGATTCTGATCCAAGTCAGACTTGCGAGTCTTGTAGTTAACTTGTCGCCCTCAGCATTCTTTACTTTTTGCCGTACATTGGCACAAACCATATCCCCGTTGAATCTATGGTTACCGTCCAACTTTTCCGTGCTTGCTCTCGATCTCCTCGTGCTCCGTCTTACTCACAGCATTTTGTCTCCAGGAACTTAGCTCATTGCATTAACCCATGCATATGCGTTTGTTCTGCATTTGAACCTGTTGGCACCCATGACCCCAGCTGACGGCAAATGGCATGGAGAGAAGCAAGGGGCTTCTCCAGAAGGTGGACTGGCGGAGGGTAAGCACTCACTCTGTGCGCATCCTCTCCCCACCCCTCACATTCCCCCCGAATTTTTAAATCCCCTCTCCCTTGCTCAATGATCCTCTCCCTCTGTCATGACCACAAGCACATGCAAACATGCATGTATTCAGATAGCCACTTGCACGCACAACTGGAACTCGTCCGTTTACATTCCATTCTGTTCTGATCATGCCCCACTGTTGCCTGTCTCGTTCTCTATCCCACTCTCACTCTCTCTGCTGGTTCTCTAATCGCCCCATTCTCCCAAAACATCCTTCTCTCTCTTTTTCCACAATCCCTCTCTCCCTGCCATTCGCACCTGTCATGCATGCACGCACAAACGCATTCCCGTCTGTACCAGGGCCGGCCCGGAGCTCCAGGTGACGCCACACTAGGTGACGCATGCTTATTCTCCTTTAGTCTTTACCTTTCTACTTTCGTCCCATGCTGTTCTGATCACTACTAGTACCACCCGTGCTTTGGCTCTGGTTGTCCCTTCCACCTTCGTGCCCTGTTCGAATGATTCCACGTTCTCGCCCCTGAATATGCTGTTCTGTAATTTCCTGCAAGGATGCCCATCTGAAGGCCTTTTTCAAGCGCCCTTAAAGGCATATTTTGAGAATTCTACAAATGGTCGCGGTCCGCGCTATCCCTGTGCTCCCTTTACTCGTTGGCAGTGTTTGGCACACCCTTGGATGCATTTGCGAGCAGGCAGCGGGGCACAGCCGTGCCCTTCGTGGTCATCCAGTGCTGCAACTTCATCCTGCAAAATGGTGTGTTGCGTTGTATGCCCGTGTGAGTCGACTGAAAAGCCGCATGTAGTGAGTCTGCTTTTGAGTCGACTCAAAGGCACAGCCGTGCCATTCGTGGTCGTCCAGTGCTGCAACTTCATCCTGCAGAATGGTGCGCTGGGTTGCATTCTGTTCACTGCTCTTACCAATGCTACGTGTTGTTACCCATGTGCTCTTAGATGGGTCGATCGTCACCGAGTTTCGAGACGTCTCTTTCACGCCTTGGATCTGCGGTGTCATTTTGACATAATTTTTTATATTGATGTACCAAGCTGTCCCTTGTTCCCTGTTGCACATGTGTGGTTACCACCAGGCTTGGTTACGGAGTACTTGTTCGAGTCGGAGAACGATTCGCGTGTGGTCAAAGGGCTCATGCACATGTTCGATACTGGTGAGCCATGAGTGAGCCATGAGTGAGCCATGAGTGAGCAACGGGTGGGCAGTGAGTGAGCAAGGAGTGAGCCATGTGTGACCAATGAGAGAGCAACGGCACAGTTCAAAAAGATCTGAATGCACTCGGAAGTCATCTTAATGCTGGTCATCGAAATCTGAAGGCTCCGTACAGAAAACTTGTTCATGCAAAGGGTTTCCTCTCCGAACCGGAATTTCTTCTAAGCGTTCGCCCTGGCTCCCATGTGTCTCAATCCCTGAGTCCCTCAAACTTATTCTACAAGCAGTCTCAAGCAAACCCCACACCTCTCCCCTTCTCCCCTCCACTGCACCTCCCCACCTACCAGATCCCAACGCGGAAACCCCGCCAGACGCCAGTCCGCTAGACGTGGGGCAGCTGCTGCTTGTATATCTCAAGTGCCTCCCCGAGCCTCTCATGACCTTCTCCCTCTTCCCTTGCGTCACCACCGTCGGCAGCAGTGATGCACCTTCAGATGCCCTTTCATAGCCTTCACTTGGTAGACTATTTCCCTTTTACAACCTTCCAGCAACTTAACCCTGTTCCACTCTCCCCCCTCTCGCTCTTTCCCCACTTTCCCTCCCTCCTTCCCACCCGTCCTTTCCAAAACCAGACCCCAATGCAGACATCCCTTCGGATACCAGTCCGCTGGACGTGGGGCAGCTGCTGCTAGTCTATCTCAAGTGCCTCCCCGAGCCTCTCATGACCTTCTCCCTCTTCTCCGGGGTCGCCACTGTCGGCAGCAGCGACGTCACGCAGCTCAGGCGCCTGCTGCACACGCTACCTGCTGTGAATCTTGAGACGCTGCATGCTGTGCTGTGCCTGCTGTACCGAGTTAGCTTGCACGCTGATGTGAACAAGGTTAGGAGGGGTGTGGGGGGGTTCTGAGGGTTAAGTGGGGGTTGGGTGTGTACTAGCAGCGACACGCAGCTCAGGCGCCTGCTGCACACGCTGCCGTCTGTGAACCTCGAGACGCTACATGCTGTGCCGTGCCTGCTGTACCGAGTCAGCTTGCACGCTGGTGTGAACAAGGTGAGGAGGGGTGTGGGGGGGTTCTGAGGGTTAAGTGGGGGTTGGGTGTGTACTAGCAGCAACACGCAGCTCAGGCGCCTGCTGCACACGCTGCCGTCTGTGAACCTCGAGACGCTACATGCTGTGCTGTGCCTGCTGTACCGAGTCAGCTTGCACGCTGATGTGAACAAGGTGAGGAGGGATGTGGGGGATTCTGAGAGGGGTTTGGGTGTGTGCTGGCCTCGGATTAAGCTCAGGCAACTACTGCACATGCTACCGCCTGTGAATCTCGAGACGCTGCATGCTGTGCTGTGCCTGCAGTACGGAGTCAGCCTGCACGCTGATGTGAACAAGGTGAGGGGTGGGTTGGGAAGGCTTTGAAGGTTGGCTGTAGGTTGGGGTGCTAGTCTCCATGTTGCAGCTAATAAAACGCCCCTTAAAGCACTCCTTCCCTCCGTGCGCCCTCCCGTTCCCCCAGATGGACGCTCAAAGCCTAGCAGCCGAATTCGCCCCCGTCCTGCTCTGGCCGCGACCAGAGGTCCCCCCGTCCCCCTCCCCATCCCCCTCCCCCTCCCCCCACGCCTCCTCCGCCTCTGGCCCCTTCGACTCCTCCCCTTCCTCCAAGCCCCCTTCCTCAACCGCCCGCTCCCCCTCTCTCTCCTCCTTAAGTCTAGACGAAACCAGGGAAGGCGCAGGAGCAGGTGCAGCAGCAGCAGCAGGGGATGGAGGGGACGGTAGCAGAGGGATGGATGGCAGCAGCATTAGCAAGAGCACGGGAGGTGGTGGTGCTGGTGGTGGTAGTGGGAGAGTGAGTGACGATGTGCCTAGTCTAATGGCACCTTCCTCCCCTCCTGCTTTGACTCCCAAGGGTAGCGCTGCTTCTGCTGCTGCTGGTGGTGGTTCTGGTTCTGGTGGTGGTGGAGGTGGTGGTGGTGGTGGGGATGCTATGGCTAGTCCGGCTATGAGGAGGGCACAGAGTGAGAAGGGAATGCGAGTGGGGGATGGAGGGAGTGCTGCTGCTGCTGCTGCCACTGTTTCTGCTGGGCCAGCAGTCGTGGAGGCAAACGGAGAATCTTCTGTTCCTGGTGAGCTGGCACATACACTCTCCTGGTTTAGATTATCAGCTGCGTATCCACTGCTTATGCAATGCTTACCCACTGCATATGCAGTGGTTGGTATTCTGTGTGTATGTGAGACCATATGTCATGACGTAACCCCAAATCCAAATCATAACATCTGTATGAAGTACACCAGTGAACGGTGAGATACCACTTTGTGTGTACCGTATCTTGCCTCTTACCGTGCGTTTGTGCGTTGGTTGTTGTGCAGAGATCCCTTTGGAAGAGGAACCAACGCAAGCACAAACAGCAATAGTGGAGGCAATTATGGTGCTCATAGACAGCCACGAGTCAATCTTCTCACATAATCCTGGTGGCCCTATTCTCCTTCCGGTCCAGTCATGAACACAAATTGATGCTACCTCAACACAAATCTGTGTAGTGTTTTAGTATAGTGGGTGTACACTCATGTAGGATGAGATCCAGGTATGGAAACGTAGCAATGTCTTTTAGTGTGCCTATTTATCAGAGCATTATTCCGTGTAAGCGTGACACAATTGCTTCACTCCCTGTACGTGTAGGATTCTAGACTGATGCTCTCAGCCTGCCCTTTCCTTTGCTGTATGTCATGTAAAAAATGGCATCTCGGTTCTTTTCTGCTCAATATATAATATAACCAAAGCACATTAGTGGCGCTGTCAATACCGCAGAGGCCGATTTGCCTCCGTGGCGCTCGCTACATATTGTGAGCATTGAGCTCAGCAGCACGCATTCAACATCAGCAGTCTGGATTTATCAGCATTGTTTTTTCCGCCATTGCCGGTAATGGCGGTGGCGCACAATCCAACGCGCGTCGCGCGGGTAGATGCAACGACTTTTAGGGCAGTTGCACTAGATCGTAAGCCCACCGTTGCTTTTACGGCGTTTAAAAAGCAGTGTATCCCGAATGGCGCGAGTGTCTGTCGCAGGATGTCGTCCGCGTTTGTAGGATCACCGCTAAAGAGATTAGCTTCTTCCCCGGCCTCCGCTATAGACGTTTTCCCACGTGACAAGATCTCGCGGCGTGAGCGCCTGCTAATTTCTGCCACGTGGCTTGAATGCAAGTGAGTGATGTTGGCTTGGAGCGGACCGAAATACTAATTTACGTGTTGTGCGACGCTGCGACCCACCTCGACATTGCGATACACCGCGACCCTTGCGTCTGCATTTGCGTGTCAGCAGCATTCTCTCAAATCGCGTGGTCATATTTATGTTCTTTACACGTATTATGAGTTTGTATCTCGTTGTTACCATCACATTCTCATCCCCCGTCTCACACGACGTTCTTTGCCATCTGTGCTCACAAATGGTCGCTCGTGAATCTACGTGGCGTCAGAGCAGTGGCTGACGCGCCCAACATTCCCCTCTCATTGGCCTACGACCTCTGGTCAGATCGCGAGCTCGTTCCCAACTGGATGCCATGGATCACCTCGGTTAAGGTGGGTTGAAAGCGGTGAAGGTGTCTCTTACTCCCTGTCTGAGAATTCCCTGCCACCAAATCAAACTCTCAAAGACAAGACTTCGTTATTATCACTATTCCTTTGTAGCACACCATTTCCTTCCATGTTACAGTACATGTCAAGCTATTCATGCCATGGATTCCCCTTATCAGGTGCACACATGCCAGCTCACATGTTGCCTCTGCCACGTCATCAGGTGCTCCAAGAGACCCCGGAGTTCTCTGAGTGGACCCTCAAATACACTGCATTTGGACGCGATCTGGAGTTCTCGTGGCTCTCCAAGCAACTCACCGTAAGCCGACTCAGTACAAGTTCAGCTGTTTCATTCAATCCGCCTCTTCCCCTGGACTCCCCCTCCCTGTGCATATCCCCAGCCCATTATGAAATAGCATGAGTGCTTCTCAACCGAAATGTTCCCTCTTTTTTCTCCCATTCCCCAATCCCTGTGTATTCCCCCAGCCCATCGCAAATCAGAAAATTCAGTGGCGCTCAGTGGATGGGGTCCCTAATAGGTAACACACATACAAGGTTCAGAAATACGTTAACCGTAAATTACGGTCCGTTTTTTACGGTCCGTTTTTTACGGTAAATTTTCAAAAATACGGCCGTTTTTTTGTTAGAGAACTCTTATCACCAAGAAAAAAAAGGCAAAAACAAGGTCGAATACATTTTCGATCATGCTTACGCATGCACACAAGCAAAAGAGGGGATCGTCCTCTTCATCCTGGTGGTTTTTCCCATCAATTTGGTCCCATAATATGGCCGATTTTTTCTTTAGACGAAAATCACCTTTTGGAACCGTTTTTTACCGTTTTTTACGGTACCGTTTTTTACGGTAAATTTTCAAAAATACGGTCGTTTTTTTTAACCTTGCACACATATGCACATGCATTGCAGTAGTCCATGCATTGCAGGTGTCCATGCATTGCAGTAATCCATGCATTGCAGTAGTCCATGCATTGCAGTAGTCCATGCATTGCAGTAGTCCATGCATTGCAGTAGTCCATGCATTGCAGTAGGACATGCGTTGCAGTAGGACGTGCGTTGCGATAGCACATGATTGCATCAGGAAAAGAGGTGCAGGACATGGTAAGCAAGAAGGGATCACGCTCCTCTTCCTACACACCCAGTTATGCTGTCCGGCTCCTGTTTCTCATTCCAGCTTCTCTTCACTACCACTGCCTTCTTCCTGCATTCTCCCTCCTGCATTCTCCCTCCTGCATTTTCCCTCCTGCATTCCCCTTTCTCCATTGTCTTGGACTTGCCAAAATACGACTCGGCCTTCACTGCTCTCCTTGTATCCTCTACCATCTCACCTCATCACATCCTCACTCGCTAACATCACCACCATTACAACCATTGTTGCAGAGGAGCTGTGCGGTTCTTCCCCAGAGGGACCAATGGCTGCAAGGTGGAGGTGAGGAGGGGGGATGTGGGAGATTGCTGGGTGTCACTGTTTTGTAACACTGCTGGTTGGAACTGCTAAGTTACATCTTGAAACTGCCTTTGTGTCCCACTGTCACAGATGACTCTGACCTACCAGTGCCCTGACATTCTCGTCCCTGTTCTGGCGGTACGTTATTTGCATATGCATCATAATCTACGTGGATGTGAGCTGTAAGAAATATGACCGATTCATTAACTCGTCATTTGGTGCTACTATTGGTCCACTCTTCCATCTTTCCCTGTTGCAGAGCCTAAACCCTTTAGTGGAGAGCATTATTCAGGCAGATATGGACCGTTTTGTGGAATATGCCACTAAGGTGAAAGACAACCAAACCGCATCCTGAGTGTGAACAGAAGCTAATTGAGGGCTCTGTGTTTTGCACGTACCTTACTGCTAATAACCTGTAGGGTTGAAATCCTGGGTTTTTTGGGAGGGGACAAAAATAAGTACCTTAGGAGATTCCGTAGGGTTTTCAGTACCGTCAGCCCCCGGATAGAAGCGCCCCTGGGGTTATAAAAAAACACGTTTTTTAGGGGGGTGCGCTTATAATTGAGGATTTTTATAAGCGACTGTGCTCATATAATAATATATGGAATTCGTCGTTCTTCCACCAAACTGTAGATCCCGTTCTTGCGAATTGAATCGAGTCAAAACTATACAGGGCTCGATTGAGAATCTCGCATGCAAGCTGGCAGGGATTGATTCCCTGCCAACACACACAGTCAGAAAGTGAAACTATACTCTACAAGGCTGTGATTGAGAATCTCGCGTGCAAGCTGGCAAGGATTGATTCCCTGCCAACACACACAGTCAGAATGAGTCAACGTGCGCCCTTGACAGCTCATTCTGACTGGACGCGTTGCCAATGAGCCGGGCGAGGGTGAGGGGGCATCGAAATTCAAAATGTGGGAATGAAAATGTTGAGTTTCGTTACAACGATTTCAGTAAAATTATAATAAAAAAGAAGAGGGTGGCGCTTATAATCCGTAAGCCTTCAGGGGTGTGCTTATAATCGAGGACCGGATATAAGCGCCCTCATCCTTTTATAAGCGCCGGCGCTTATCCGAGGCCTGCGCTTCTAGCCGGGGGCTTACGGTACGTTTTTTTTTTTTTTTTTTTTTTTTTGGGTTGCGAAGCAACCCTTTACGATCGATTTTGACAAATTTTATTTTCATATTTATAAAACATGAAAATAAACTTCGTCAACTACAATAACGCCCCCATACTGTATACGGTACATGTTGAGCAGTTTTGACTATTGTTTAGAGTATTTTTTTGTAGTATTTTTGTGCAGATTTGCTGAACTATTTGTATTCTATATTTAACTATTACCGTATATAATATGGTTGTAATGATAAATAGATGCATGATGCATAAATGATGATATACAATGCATAATATTTATGATATGACATGAATCATAATGCACATGTAACTAATAAAATGCGTGATAGTTAACGACCCAAAAACTAAGCTACCGCCATCCCCTGCCTAGCATGGGGGGGAGGTCAACAGCATAGCTTTTGAATAATCAACTGTCACATGAAACAACACAATCTGTGAAGTCTAAAAAAAAGGTCAACTCTATCAAATCCAGTTCGAATTGGTCGCACACGAGTCACTGAGTGCGCCAATGAACCTTTTGTGAAATGATAGATCTGAGCCTTCTTTTTACAAATCACAGACATGCATTGTTATTGCAATGGATATGGATCAAAGCACACACCGACAACACACACACATACACATACACACACACACATACACACACACACACACACACACAAAGGTACACACACGCAAACATACAAACAGATATACACGATGACACAGATTCACGCAAACACAAAATCTCAATGCACGAACTGTAAAAAGAATAAAACATCAACACAATACAATCCTACAAGTCATCACTATTATCTACTTCACAAGTAATCTTGGCAGATATACACATCTGGAATGAAAGTCAGGAGTAAATCTGGAAAAAAGAAAAAAGAAAAAAAAGTAGGCACCGAATGAAGGAGAGGGAATGAAGGAACAGGGGAGAGAAGAAAACCATTATCAGAGTGCTGAGGAAATGGAAAGGAAAGCAAGGCAGTTGAGGAGAAAGAGAGAGAGAGAGAGAGAGAGAGAGAGAGAGAGAGAGAGAGAGAGAGAGAGAGAGAGAGAGAGAGAGAGAGAGAGAGAGAGAGAGAGAGAGAGAGAGAGAGAGAGAGAGAGAAAACGGGAGAGAAAGAACGAGGGAGAACGAACGAGAGAACGAGAAAGAACTAGACAACGAGAGAACGAGAAAGAGAATGCTCCAACCTAATAATTTAACTTTCTGAACCTAATTGTTAATAATCATGTCAAAATTCAATTAAGGAAGAGGAATAAATCAAGAAACAGCGTACGGAAGAAGACAAAAGCAAGAGCAAGAGCTGAAAAGAGCAAGCAAGTAGAATGTAAATCGAAATAAAGGAGAGAAGAAGATGGGAAGAAGTGGAGAGAAGGAGAGGGAAGGAGAGAACAAAAGTACGGTGCATAACCTAGGAAGAAAGCGAGGTTAAGAAACAAAATACGTCTAGATCTCGTTTAAAAAAAAACAACTCTCAACCAAATGAGCTAAACTAGGGTCCACTCTCAACTAGAAAGAACTTAAGAATAGAGAGAATGAGGCTTACCTTAACTAGGAGTTCTAGTCTGAGTGGTGTGAGTGGCGTGAGTGGCGTGAGGGACGGGGAGAAGCTAGAGTAGTCTGACTAGGTGGAAGAGAAACGGAGGGAAAGGACATTTGACGAAACCCTAGAATGGGACGTTTTTATTGCAGTTCAGGTCGAAAACTTTTTTTGTAACTGTCAACACGGAATGTATAGCTCAGCTCTGTCGACGTCGTGTTTCCCTTGAAGGTCGGGAGTTCGAGTCTGGTCATGGGCATTGTTTCGATGGAATAAGATTTTTCCGTTCTGTACCTTTTTGGGTTGCGAAGCAACCCTTTACGATCGATTTTGCAAGATTTTATTTTCATGTTTATCATTTTTAATAGAACATGAAAATAAAATCCGTAAACTACAGTACCCTTCCCACACGTGTGCATGTTGAAGAATTTTAAATGTTGTTCACAATATATTAAATCATATGTTTTTCTGGTCAGTGGTTTGGTGAATATATGCTGTACTGTTATATATTAGTATGTGTTACTATTAAATGGTGCTGTGGTAATGATAAATAGATGCATGATGCATAAATAATGCTATATGATGCATAATGTTCAATAGTGTGATGTCATGAATCATGATGCACATGCATGCACACAATAAAATGCGTGACAGTTAACGACCCAAAAACTAAGCTACCGCCATCCCCTGCCTAGCATGGGGGGGAGGTCAATAGCATAGATTTTGAATAATCAACAATCACATGAAACAACACACTCTGTGAAATCTAAAAAAGAAGTCAACTCTATCAAATCCAGTTCGAAGTGGTCGCACATGAGTCACTGAGTGCGCCAATGAACCTTATGTGAAATGATAGATCTGAGCTTTCTTTTTAAAAATCACAGACATGCATTGTTAATGCAACCATACATGGATATGAATGCACATGCACACATACAAACATGCAAACACAACCACACGCATACGCACACAAACCTGAACACTCGAACGAAATAAACAGAAACATGCAAGGAAATATACCAACACAAAACAATTATCCTACAGAACATCAGCCACTGGTATAGTTTCATATTCCAAATGAAAGTGGACTTCTTGAAGGATACAGCAAAGTCTCTGAGGAGAAAACAGGGAGAGAAATGGGAAATAGAATGGGAAGAAAAAAAAAGAGACTGTGAAATAACCGATGAAAACGATTTGGAGATTGAAAACGACGGATGAAAACGGATTTGTAAGAATCAGCAGATACACATTTGAACATCAGTGAATAAAGTTGGAATCAAGAACACAAGACTTACACACCACACACTAATTTGCTGCTGCCTATAAAGAAAGGGTAACGAAGAGCTATAGAAAGTGGGCGGGAGAGAACTACATGAACAAAAAAAAACGGTAGTTTGGATGCAACCAGAAACGGTAGCTTTGATTGAAACGAGAGTGATAGAAAGTGAGAGAGAACGAAAGAGAGAGAACGAGAGAGAGAGAGAGAGTACGAGAGAGAGAGAACGAGAGTGATAGAACGACAAAGAGAGAACGAGAGTGAGAGAACGACAGAGGGAATACGACAACGAGAGAACGAGAACGAGAGAACGAGAGAGACAGAACGGAAAAGAGAGAACGAGAAAGAGATAAAGAGAGAGAGAGAGAGAGAGAGAGAGAGAGAGAGAGAGAGAGAGAGAGAGAGAGAGAGAGAGAGAGAGAGAGAGAGAGAGAGAGAGAGAGAGAGAGCGAGAACGAGAGAGAGAGAACGAGAACGAGAGAGCGCGAACGAGAGAGATAGAACGAGAACGAGAGAGAAAGAAAGAGGGAGAGAGACATAGAGAGAGAGAGAACAAGAGCACGAGACAGATAGAACGAGAATGTAAGAGAGAGAGAACGAGAGAACGAGAGAGATAGAACGAGAGAGAGAGAGAGAACGACATGCTGCTCGGGTCGAGTTAATTTCAATCTGGCTATCAAGGCAAAGAAGGTTGGCGTTCAAATCGACCTAACAAAAACATAAGATGAAAGGAAGTAAAAACGTCAATGAAATATGCAAATACGAGACTGTAAGCATGCAACACAGGAAAGAGGCGATGAATACTTGAAGCATGGATGCAATCTAGTGAAAGACCTAAAGCTAAAGTATCTACAACAATCCTAGAACCTAAGCCTTAAAAAACCTGCGGCCAATACTATGTTAAACGACTACGATATGAGAGTGAGAAATGTTAGTCTAGCTTGTAACGATCTGATTTTGTTTGATTTGATTTTCTTACCTTGCACTAGTACCGTCACCCCCCGGATATAAGCGCCACCCTAGGATAAGCGCCTGGCGCTTCTAATTGGCATATGGCGCTTATATCCCCTCCTCGATTATAAGCGCACCCCCTGAAAAAACTAGTTTTATTATAAGCGCACGTAAACTTTAAAATTTGAAATGTGTACAAAACGTTGTAATGATTTTTACTTTAGCAGGCAGATATGTTGCAGATTCGGTTCCCTTCACATTCGGACCCTGCACTGGATGCGGGTCCAGTCAGCAGGAGCTGTCAGGAGCTGGATGTGAGTCAGATTGGGTGTGTCTCCCAGCGCGCGCGAGAATTTCACAGACGACCCCATGTAAATTCGACTCGATTGAAAGGGCAAGCACGAGACCTACAGTTTGGTGTTAAACAATATAAAAAATATGAATGTCATTTTATAAACGCCGGCGCTTATAAATTTACTCGATTATAAGCCCACCCCCTTGAAAAAACCTGTTTTATTATTGCCCCCCATGGGGGTATATCCGGGGGGTGACGGTAGGTGGAGCGTGTCTGGCGGGGAGCTCATCTATCCAGAAGGAGCAGCGAGAAAAAAAAAGGAACAAACAAACCCTAGAGCAGTTTCTGATTCGTCGCAAAGCTTCAAGTCCAATCGAATTATTTGTTCATGCACAACATCAGTACTCTTGCAGATGATTGAAATTGGACGGGAAATCGAAAAGTCTCTTGACTCCTGCAGATGCGATTTTTCATTACTCTCCAAGTGAGAGGAAGTACATCTTAGTGTCATACTACAGCATCATGTACAGATTTAGTTGTACAAATGTATGTAAATACGCAAAACGCTTCGCAACCCTAAGACGATTTCGTCGCCTCTTGTTTTGTTTCAGATTTTCAGTCACCCTAAAACCAAATAATATGAACACAACAAGAATAACTTACCCTAAACAACCACACCCATCTGTTATGTACACCCTTTCATTTGTATACTCCCATATTACACCCTTTCTATGAATAGCAATGATCCAGCAAAGTCATGTTACGATATTATATAATTCTCACTATAGATCAGATGTATCTAAAAATAACAGTGTAATGTTGCTTCGCAACCCTACGACGATTTCGTCGCCTCTTGTTTTTTTTGCGGGGGGGGGGGGGGGGGGGGGGGGGTGGGGGGTTTCCTTCTGCATGTTTACTCTGAAATGAAACCCTTTTCTCTCTAATGAAATCAATGATGTGCTAGTTATCTTGAACGAATGAACTAGTACCGTATATAAAGTTGTCAATTATGTATAGGGCTGTTTTACAAGCAAGTGTTACGCGTCTCTCATTTTGCTTTTTTCTACGAGCCGCGCTGGCGTGGCACGAAGCCGAGTGGCGGGAAGACTCGCCAGGCGCAGCGGCCTACACGGCCCTGCCCTCCCGCCTGCATCGCCCAAAGCCTTCATTCCTATTGGCTGTCACCAAGTCACGAAATTCTGCACCAGATGTACTGTGACGGGCGACCGCACATTTGCCCACACGGCTCCGCCTGGTCACGTCCCCCTTCGCACAGCACGGACAGGGAGGAAACGTGAAACATGTGTGAGCTGAATTTCGTTTAACGAAAAATAACACATCGTTCGCACGCAGAGTGACACTCGCATCAAAGGAGTACTCTCACAGTCGACAAAACAACAGGTAACTGCGAAATTCATGTGTGTATTCGCAACTCGATTTTCCGCTCATTGCTGCCAAGTTTCACCCCGTCAGCCACCCAAACTTGGGCGACATTTGACAGCAGAGGCGACTCGCGTTCATGGCTCCACCACTTCCCCTTTCACACGAGCTGTTGCCGCTACCTTAGCTCCGGCGCCCGTCATTCCGCAATGAGATACGTGGTGTGTTAGACGCGAGTCATCGTGCGATTAGGGTTAGCTTGACCAGGAGCGTGACGGTGACGGGAGACTGTGAGGCACGGAAGGAGGTTGGTGACGTCAGGTAAGGCTAGAGAGAATTTCTCCAGACGTCTCTAGACTGCCTTGAACGGCTGTAAGGATCGCATCTCGCTAGCGGAACCCTTACCAGCGCTTCGTAGCCAGCCCTGGGAAACGAGATAGACTGCGGGTTCCGGCTTATCCAAGCACGCACAAGTATTATCTAGAAGGTTTACTTCCTAGGCGGGTTTCGTTGAGCAGCAGCTGAGGTTCGGCGAGAAGCAGGTTTCGTTTCGTGGATCCACTGAACAAGCAAAACTGGATCGTGTGGTTGGTTGAGAGCGTCCGTTGTTGGTGGATAGTGAAGTGAAGTTAAGATCCAAGTAATAGCACAGGACTCGTTTACCTTGGATTATTAGCGACGTAGCTTGTCAAGTTAGCAGAATTCTCCTGCCGGCCCAACTACCTTTTGTAGGTTCCCTCTTTATTTCTTAGAGCAGAATCCCTTACTCTCAAGGCACTATGTCGGGTGGCTTAGAAGCCGCCGCCGCCGAAAGCGGCGGCAACGCCACGTCAGACGGCTCCGCGAAGAACACGGCCGCGAATGGCGCAGCAGCAGTCGTGACAGACGCGATAGCCGGCGCGAAAGACGCTGGCGGCGAGGCGCTCAAGTGGCGCATCGACGTGGAGGATTACGAGTCGGAGGACGGCAGCAGCGTCGTCGGTAGCGTGCTCGAGAGCCTGCCAGCCAGCATCCCGGAATACCCGGCGGGAGGTGCGCGGGAGGGGGAGGAGGACGATGACGACAAGAACGACGACGAGATCTCGGTGCGTTCTCATTGGTTGGTGTGAAACAGCAATCGTTAATCCCCCACTCCTATCAACCCCAGTTTCTTCCCCCACTCCTCTCCCCTTCCCCCCACCTCAACCTTCCCACCCTTCCCGCCCGTTTTCCTTCCTTCCCACCCGGAACACCCAATCATGACCGCACCCCTTCATTTCCGCCCCCCCTCCGCAGTTTATTGGCGGCATGCGCCCTCCCGTCGTTGGCTCCGCGGGTCTTCCGCCGCAGAATCCTGTCCTGATGGAGCGGTCCGCCAAGCCCGCGCCGCCCGCGCCGCCCGCGCCCGCAACAACAGCCGCGCGGGAGCCGCTGGGAATGGCGCGCGCGCAGTCCATGGCCCCGCCCGCCGCGGCCAGCATGGTTTCCGCGGAAGACTTGAGCACTGCTCAGGCGGAAGTTGGACGGCTGTTCGCGGCGCTGAAAGAGGCGCGCGGAAGGCGCGCTGATGCGCCAGCGGAGCAGGAGATCAAGGCGGCGGAGGTCGCGCGTCTGCAAGCGGCGCTGAAGGACGCGCGCGCAAAGGTTGCGCAGATAGACGCTGTGCGCCCGAAGCAACCCGCGGGCAGTCAGGGTAGAGCGCCAGCGGCGGCGGTGGCGGGGGCGGGAGTGGCGGGCGCTGGGGGAATGGGGATGGCGCGAAGCATGTCGGAGATGCCGCCGCGCGCCAGCCTGATGACGTCACCCGCACATCCCGCAGCGGGGGGGGCTGGCGGAGCGCCAGCTACCACTTCCCCCGTGCATCCTTCCGCCACCCCCTTGCGCCCCGCCACCGCCGGCTCACGCGGAGTGGCGCTTTCCGCGAGTCAGCCGGGGGAGATCCGCCGGACGGTGTCGTTTGCGCCTGCGCCCACCGCGCCAAGCGCCGGTGGCGGAAGCCCCCCCGTTGCGCTGCAGCAAGCCGCGTCGCTCCAGTCCCGCCCGAGCCCCGCCCCCGCCGCACCCGCGCGGCCTGCTTACGTGCCGCCTCCGTCTTCCGCCATGATTGCTCCTCCCGCCGCCGCGCCCAGCGCCTCCGCCGGCGCTCGCAGCGTTGGGTACGATAAGGAGGAGGATAAGGAAGACTCGCTGTCGGGCATTGGATGGGCGACGCAGACACGTGGCAGCCTCGTGTCGTCCGACGACATCCCGTCGCACGCGTCGCACGCGGCGTCTCAGGCGACCCCTCCCCCTGGCGGAATTGGTTCCCCCTGGCGCACGCAAAGCTCCCCCTACCGTTTCTACAAGGGCCCCGGGGAAGGCGCAGGCGCAGTCCCTGGCGCAAGCGGCGGGTACGGCGGAAGCTCCGCCGGGTATGGCGGGGCCGCGCCGCGCAGATCGGCTTACGCGGAGTCGGATATGGGCGACGCGGTTTCAATCGCGTCCAGCCAGATCGCTTGGCGCTCCCAGTCCTCGGATCCGCGCCGGCAACACCCGAGCCTGAGCCGCAGGCTCGGGAACCTCCCGGGGCTGGCGGCGGAAGGCGCAATGGTGCCGGACGTGGCGGCGACGATCGCGGCGGGCAACGCGGCGGGAGGCGCGGCGGATAACAGCGACGCGCAGTCCGTGGCGGCTTCGGAAGTTTCGATCCAGCCCGGGCCGAACAACGCGCTGATGCTCGTTCCAACGGTCAAGCCCACCCCGCAGCCGCAATCGGCGCCGCCGAAGCCGGCGGGGAACGCGGAGGGGTCGATCGACCTGCAGGTGTTCAGCAAGCTGCTGGCGGAGACGCGCACGGAGAGCGACGCGATCGCGAAGCTGAAGCAGCAGAACAAGCTGCTGCAGAGCTGGTACGCGGAGGCCAAGGCGTGGGCGGACGAGAAGAGCCTGCGCGCGTGGGAGGCGACGTCGATGGCGGACGACGCGGAGGACGTGGCGGCGGTGAAGCACCGCATGCTGAAAGAGCTCGACGGGAAGCTCGGCGCGCTCAAGGAACGGCTGGCTGGGTGAGTATGAGAGGGAGAGGAAGAAGGTAGCAAACGCAGTTTCATATTTCATCACGGCACATTCAAGCGATGTTGTCTCTTCATCTCCTCACTCCACTCTCCTCCCTCCTCTCTCCTCTCCACCCCACCATCATGAGTATGCTCGAACGGGATAACGGCGGCAGCGCATCCAAGGTTTGACGTATCTCCCCTTCATACTCGCCTCTACCCCTGCCCTCCCTCCTCCCAGCTCCTCTCCACCCCACCAGTACGACAATGCAGGAGCAGGAGAACCGCGTGTTGCGGCAGCGCATCCAGGCCATGGCGAGTGAGCATCCCCTACTTCTCCACTCACTTCCACTTCCCCTCTCTCCACTCTCCCCACCCACACCGTTCATGGTCCTTCCTCTCTTCTCCCTCGTCCCACCAGAATGACGATGCTCGAGCAGGAGAACCGCGTGTTGCGGCAGCGCATCCAGGCCATGGCGTCCGTGAAAGGCCCCAACCAGCTGCTCGAGCAGCTCAAAAACGCGCCGCGCATCGACGTGGTGAGTGAATGAGTGAACGTAGCTGGAGAGGCACCATAACCGTGTGACGATAGCTGTGGTGGCGGCCTGCTGTGTGCTTGAAACGAGGGTGTCTGCTGCTCGAGGCATGTCCCACTCTCCCAACCCCACCCTCCCCACCTCCCCCACCCATCTTCAACCCCTCGCCTCAATCCCTTCACACAGAACGCCCTGCGGTCCAGGGGCCAGGACATGGACGCGTTAGCGCGGTGGATCAACGAGATGAAGGAGGAGGGCGGGCAGGTGGAGCGACTCAAGAAGCTCAACAAGCTGCTGCAGGTGGGTGTGACTAATTTGTGGAGTCTAGAGGATAATTCGTTGGTAATTTGAGGATAATCTGTGCCCGTGAGTAGAGTGTGTCTGTAGCGAGTGCAGCGGTATGTGCTGGTTGATTGTGGTTCGGAGACGCGGATGCCGAACCTCCCTGACCGTTGCTTCTGTCCCCTTCCATCCCCCTTTCCTCCCTCGTTTCAGGGATGGTACGCGGATGCCAACTCGCGCGCGGAGGATGCGCTGCAGCGGGAGAAAGAGGAGTTCATCCGCGCCAAGGCGGCGGAAGAGCTCGCTGCCGCGGGCGACCTGCTGATTCTCGAAATGGAGGCGAAGTTCAGCGAAATGCGTATGAAACTGGCCGCGTGAGTAATAAGGTTGTACAGTACTGTTAATAATGCAAACTATACAGTATAAGCGCAGAATCAAATATACACCAACAGCTGTGATACCAACTGCCGAATTAGTGACTGGAAGTTCCAGCAGAAAATGCTGCAAAGGCATGATCACCTGGTCCTGACCCCCATCCACTTCTACCCTGCGTACTAGCCAACATGCCATGAAGTGTGTTGCATTCTCAGCAGTCAGTTGCTGGAGTAGGAATGCAGGGACCAACACCAGCAGATGTGCGCTTGTCGCCTCCTAACCCTTCATCTCCTCATCTCCTCTTGTCATCTCCACCACCTCTCCCGTCGACATGCAATGCCCTCAATGATGCTGCAATCTCAGCAGTCAGTTGCTGGAGTAGGAATGCAGGGACCAGCACCAGCAGATGTGTGCTTGGCGTCTCCTAACCCCTTGTCTCCTCTTCTCTCCCCCACCTCTCCCCGTGACGTGCCCTTGACATGCAATGCAATCTCAGCCGTCAGATGCTGGAGCAGGAGAACAGGGAGCTGCACCAGAAGATCGTGGCGCTGTCTGCAGGCAAGGCGGGCAGCATGTCGGTGCACAAGCAGGAGGTGAGTCAGGCCGGGTGATGAGATAAGGAGGTGAGGGATACAAGCTGTCAGAGGGGGAAAAGTAGGGGGTGAAGGCAGACAGTCAAGGGCGGAGCAAGGGGCAAGGCGTGCAGAATGTCGGTGCACAAGCAGGAGGTGAGGCCTTGAGAAGGTGAGTGAGTCCATGTAGAGGGGACGGGGTAAAAGCGTAGGGTAAAGCAGGCAGCAGAGGTGGGGAGGTAAGTCCAAGGCGTGCAGCATGTCAGTGCACAAGCAAGAGATGAGGTGGCCATGGTACAAGGATGGTGAGGCCTTGAGAGAGGAGAGAAAAGGGTGCATGCAGCAAGTGCAGCAGAGTCTAAGGCTCATTTTTCCTCCTGCCTTCCCATCCTCACCCTCCCCTATTTCTCCCCTTCCACAGGAGATGCTGATGGAGTGCGTCTGACAGAATCTCGGGTTCACCGGCGGGCGGCCGGTGAAGGCTTGCATGGTGTACAAGGCGATGGTGCACTGGAGCATGATCGAGGTGGAGCGTGGGGGAAGGAGGAGAGGAGAAAAGAGGAGAACCACTCATATTTGAACCCCCCCTTCCCCATCCCATCTCCCTCAACAACAGGAGATGCTGATGGAGTGTGTACGACAGAATCTGGGCTTCAGCTGGGGCCGGCCGGTGATGGCGTGCATGGTGTACAAGGCGATGGTGCACTGGAGCATGATCGAGGTGGAACGAGGGGGGAGGCGAGGAGGCGAAACCACTTGTACGAGACTCAAAGTGTGCTGATTCAAAACCGACTCAATCCTCTCCTTCCGGCCCCTCCCCTCTCCCCCTTCCTCAGGAGATGCTGATGGAGTGCGTCCGACAGAATCTAGGGTTCAGCCGCGGGCGGCCGGTGATGGCGTGCATGGTGTACAAGGCGATGGTGCATTGGAGCATGATCGAGGTTGAGCGGATGAACACGTTCGACAAGCTCATGGAGCACATGCAGGCCGTGTGCAAGGCGGACAACAACGATTTGAGATGCTACTGGCTCTCAAACACCGTGCATCTGCACTTCCTGGTGAGTAAGGGTGGGCCAGGGCTACCCGGTGTGGGTCTGCTTGGGTGTCTTAAGTGCTGCAAGGGAGGTGGGGTAAGCTTGCAAAATAGGGGACGTAGGGGGTGCAGTGGGCATAAACGAGGTGGAGGAGATGAAATTCGCTGATAACCACTCTCCACCCCTCTCTGCCACTCTCCCCCGCTCTCCACCACTCCCCACCCATCAGAACACCCGCGGACCGAGCCGCATGGACAATACGGTGGCCAAGTCGCAGCTGGGCGTGCAGATCGAGAAGCTGTATGTGGTGACTCGTGACGCCATGAAGCACCGCATCTCACTGTTGCTCAACGACCTGCTGCAGGTGAGGCGAGAGGAGAGTGTGACTAATACGAGTGTGACTGTAAGAACGTGACTGTATGAGTGAGCATACGGTCTGAGTGCATGTGTGATGTGATGCCAGTAGTGCAAGGAGGTAGGGCTGTATGTGGTGACGAGAGACGCCATGAAGCACCGCATCTCACTGCTGCTCAACGACCTGCTGCAGGTGAGCGGAGAATGTGACTATAGATGAATGTGACTACAGGCGAGTGAATATAGTGCAGAGCACGCCTATGGGGTATGGAAGTGCCACTCCAGGGACGCCATGAAGCACCGCATCTCACTGCTGCTCAACGACCTGCTGTAGGTATGAGTGTGACGAAAAAAGGAGAGTGACAATACGAGAGTGACAACAATATAGAGCACGCCTATAGGGTATGTGGAAGTGCCTGCAACGCGATGCCATGAAGCACCGCATCTCACTGCTGCTCAACGACCTGCTGCAGGTGAGCGGAGAATGTGACTATAGATGAATGTGACTACAGGCGAGTGAATATAGTGCAGAGCACGCCTATGGGGTATGGAAGTGCCACTCCAGGGACGCCATGAAGCACCGCATCTCACTGCTGCTCAACGACCTGCTGTAGGTATGAGTGTGACGAAAAAAGGAGAGTGACAATACGAGAGTGACAACAATATAGAGCACGCCTATAGGGTATGTGGAAGTGCCTGCAACGCGATGCCATGAAGCACCGCATCTCACTGCTGCTCAACGACCTGCTGCAGGTGAGCGGAGGGTGTCATTGTAGGGAATGCAAATGTGTGACTACAAAAGAGTGTTCCTGTGAAGGAATGTGACAAGAGGGAAGTGGGTCGTCAGGAATAGCCTCACTCGAGGGACAGCATGAAAGCATATCAGACCTCTGTTGCTCCTCCCAGAAAGCATGTCACTCGTGTTCCCCTCCCGTCCCATGCTGTCCAGCTCGGCAGTGAGTGGCGCGTCAACGGTCTCCATGCACAAGCTGGTGCCAATGCCTGGAAATGTGCGGTGTCAGATAAAGATGTTCTGGGAGGGGCTGATGCCGCTCACTTCTTCTGTCCCACGCTCCTTCTGCTCCCATCCCATTGTGTCGCAAGCAGCCTCCACCAGTGACCACCGAGAATCCAGGCTACAAGTTCTCTGACGCTAGGTCTGCAGCCAGCGGGGCATCAACGGTGCAGGGTATTTTTGAGAAATCTCGAAAACACCGAGGAGCCAGGCTTCGAGTTCCCTGACTCCGGGTCTGCGGTCACTCGGGCATCAACCATGTCGGTGCACAAGCTGGTACCAACCCCTTCCCCTCTGCCTCCCTCCCTCCCCATCTTTTCCGCACCTCCCTGGCTTCCACCAGCCCCCGCCTGTGAATGTGGAGGAGCCAGGCTACGACTTCCCCGACTCTGGGTCTGCGATCAGCGGCGCGTCTACCGTGTCGGTGCACAAGCTGGTGCCGACTCCAGGGAACGTGCGGCGGCAGATGACCATGTTCTGGGAGGGGCTGATGGGGGCTTTAAGGTGCTTCGTGGACGAGTGCCGCGGGAACTACGTGCCGCCGCTGCTGGTCAGGGAGTTCATGTCGCAGCTGCTGCAATACGTGGACGTCAAGCTGTTCAACAGGTACGCCTTAAAAACGATTTAAACGATGCACTAAACCTTTCTGCACCGCCCACCCTGCACCGAAACCCCTGCACACCTCCACGTGTGCTGCTCGTGCGCGAGTTCATGTCGCAGCTGCTGCAATACGTGGACGTCAGCTTTGACGAGATTGTTTAACTTATGGTAACCCTCTTCGTCCATGCTCGCAACCACATGTGTCCCCCGCAGCGTGATGATGCACTGCCCGTGGGTGCCGTGCACATTCACGAACGGCGAAACGATGGAGGCGGGGATGAGCGATTTGGAGGATTGGCTGGGGAATGTGGACGAATGGCTGGACGCCACGCTGGTGGACACCATCAGCCTCACGTCGTCGCTCATTGAGAACATCAAGCACATTCGGCAAACTGTTGGGTTCCTGGTGAGTGCCAGTGTAAAAGCAAACTACACCATATGAATCAGTTTTACTAACGGTGAATGTGGCTATGCATTCATATTGTCAAACCCAGATAGGTGCGCACCACCTCCTATTGTTCGTCTTACACATACTGAAATTGATGCTTCCCCAGCTCATTTATGACCATTGAGGCTTCCACCCATCTCTTCTCAATGTCCCCTCCCATTTCCTTTCCTTCCTCTTACCCCTTTCACATTCCTCCATTTTTCTCAGCTGGACGAGAACAAGCCAGGCCGCAAGCTGCAGCACATTCAGCGCATGTGCCCGGACCTGAGCGTGACCCAGCTGGCGCACATCTGCACGTGGTTCGAGGACGATAAGGACGGGTCGCCGGGGGTGGATCCAGCGGTGATTGAGCAGATGTGGGCATTGATGACGGAAGATGCTCCCTTCCTGCTCAAGGAGGACAAGAGGTGAGAGATTATGTGTGATAGGAGGAATTATGATGCATGCATGTGAAGGAGAGGAATCAAAGGGATGGGGATGGGGATTACCGCTGGATTTAGCGGTAATCCAGCGGTAATTTAGCAGATGTAGGCACTAATCACAGGTTTCAGAGAGCCACCTGCAAGATTCATGCCCCTCACACTCCTCCCTCTTACCCTTTCACCCTGCTTTCCACACTTGCAACTGTCCGTTCCAAACGGACGAGGTGTCGCGCTCCGCGAAGGAGTTTGTGATGGACGACATTGATCCGCCTGCTGCTCTCCGCAACGAGCTCTCCCCCCCCTCATGCTCATGCTGCTCCCTGCCTTCTCCCCCTCCCACCCCCTTACCAGCTGCCCATTCCAAACGGATGAGGTGTCGCGCTCCATGAAGGAGTTTGTGCTGGACGACATCGATCCGCCCGCTGCTCTCCGCAACGAGCCGGCCTTCTACTTCCTCATCCCTGCGCAGCAGCGCCAGCAGGAGCAGCTGCAGGCGGCTGGGCTTGTTGCTGCTGGTGGCGGTTCCGTTGCTGGTGGCGGTTCCACTTATGGTGGTGGCAGTGTCTCTGGGGATCCCCGTAGGAGACTTGCTATGTAGGTTTTTGGGAGTTGACGGGCGTAGCGGCTACATGATGTTGGGTCTGGGATCCAGTGGCATTATGGGCAAATATAGTGTCCTTTTGTGGAACGGCTTCGTGCTTTCGGGTTTCCTCTCATTACGGTTGTGCTTAGCAGTGCTATTCATGAGAGGGACTTGTGATTAGAGGGTAGAGGGTAGTGGTGCAATGTTTTCCCATGTAAGTGAGTGAAGGGGAATAAGGTTTTCTTTGTTTTCTTTATACGTTTATGTAAACACAATAGTCTTGAAGTAGTGAACATCTAGTTGGCTGACACTCGAAAGAATAAATGGAACGGTATGCTTGACGCGTCACACTTTAGCGTATAATCCAAGTGGCACTGGCAAGAAACCTCAGGCGTATTCCACGTCAACGTCGTCGTAAGATTTGTCATCGGATATTACCTTCTCCAATCACCATTTCCTTCAGTATCACCATTTGCCACGCCATCTCCTCCCCCTCTCCCACCAAATGCTGGTAACCCGAAATCAAGAATCTAGGTTCCAGAATCCAGACTCTTCCCCATTTCAGCACCTTGACAAGTCCAGGACAGATATGTTTCAGGCAGTCGGCATTCTGGCAACATTCAGACACACTTGTTTTAGGCAGCCAGGAACTAGGACCTAGAAGGTTCTTGGCGTTAGGACGAGGAGTGGGAGTAGCGGTGGTTACCGTTGCGCTGGTCAAAATATCTATTGTTGCTTCTGGCTTGACAGCTGAGCTATGGCGTCCGTGACGTCTCTCCCTGCAGCTCTGACCGTTGCTGCTGGTGTGTCCGCTTCGCTCCCCGCCTCCTCTCTCTCCCACACTTCCACTCCGTCGTCGTCGACTCGCGTTGCCTCGCTAAAATGCCGAGCCGAGGCACGTAAGGATGACGTTACTTCTCAACCCGCTGACGTGGCAAAGTGGCTCGGCACAGCCGCAGTGACCTTATCCGCCACGGCAGCGCTTTTCTGCGGCTCCGTCGACCCCGCATTCGCCGACGTGGAATTAAAGACGTACTACGGCACAGCTGCTAGCGCGTCGTCCTATGGCGGGTACGGCGGGAACGCGAGCAAGCAGGCGACGGCGGAGTATATTTACGGCGTTCCCGACGATTGGAAGGAGCGCGCGATCTCCAAGGTTGAGAAGGGTACTAACGGCACGGACAGCGAGTTCTTCTGGCCGAAGAACCGCAACGTGAAGACTTACGTCACCTTCCTCGCCGGTGAGTTTTGAGCATTCTCAAATATTTGAAGGAGCTCGCAAAATTGCAAGGGAGAAAGGAACCAACGGCACGGACAGCGAGTCCCTTTGGCCCAAGAATCGCAACCTCACTCTTTTCGCCGGTGAGTGTTGAGATGTCTCAAAGTAAGAAGTAGCGCGAATTTGGAAGAAAGAAAGGGACCAACGGCGCGAACAGCGGTTCCGTCTGGTCCACGAATCGCGACGTGCTGAACGGCATTGCTCTGCCGTTGAGTCCCATAACGGCGTTGAGTCCCATAACGAAAGCTCTTGCAAGTTGCGTGTCAATACGTCCACTTCCGTCCCGCAATCATTTTCCGCGTCCTTCCTCCCTCTCCGTTTTGCCGCTCCCCCTGATCCCCCGTGTGCCAGGCTTCCGCCGTCTTCCCCCCCAGGAGAACGTGCTGAGCGACATTGCTCTCTCGGACGTCAACCTGCAGGTGCGTCGGACGTTGTTTGGTATTGATCTCTAGTCAAATCGAGGTAACTTAATTTGAGGCGCAGCGCATCAAAGCGCTGGATGGAAGGACTGTTCTTGAAGCGCCTGAAACAACTTGCTAACGTCATTGCTCTGTCGGCCCCAACATGCGGGTGGGTGGATCGTTTGAGTTTCGAGGCTCCTTTGAGCAATCATTTATCCTTCGTCAATTCAATGACGTCAACCGTGCACAGGAAGGGATGGGGCTGGTGAAAGTTTTGCGGAGGAGAGATCAGGAAGAGGTGGTGCGGTTGAATGGAAATTGACGAGTGGACGCTGATAGGATGGTTGGAAGGTTTGATGCATAGGTGGAGATTGAGGGACAAGTCATCAGAAACCCACCCTCTCCCCCTCCTCAACCTCCCCTCTCTTGCAGGATTTGATTCTGTCCGCAGACGAGATAAAGCAGGGGCAGCACCGGGACCCTGACAGCAACCAGCTGTACTACGACTTTGAGATTGACAGCCCGCTGGGCCACGCCCTCATCACTGTCACTGCCGCCAAGAACAAGCTCTACGCTCACTTTGTCAACGCACCTGATAAATACTGGAAAACGTGAGTGTTCTTCATTCAACTCATGCCATCCTTCCTGCTTCCCACAGCTCTCTGCCTCCCTTTTCCTCTGCCTGCTCCTGGCTATCACCGAGAACAAGCTTTATGCTTACTTGGTCAATGCATCCGATGAATACTGGAAAACTTAAGTCATCCACTCTCCTGATGTGTTACTGCCCTGCCAGTGTTTCCCCTCAAGACCGTCAACAGGGACCCTTTGAGTCCATCCCTTGTCTTCCTATCCTCTCCTCTCCCTCCCCCACTCCCACATCCCCCTCTCTTTTCTCCACACTCCCAGGGACGAGGCAATGCTCCGGCAACTTCAGACCTCATTCAAGGCCGTCAACAGGGCAGGGACCCCTTGAATGCACCCCTTTCATTCCTGTCCTCCCCGCTCCCACACCCACACCCTCACTCCATTCCCCACGCTCTCAGGGACGAGGCTCTGCTTCGGCAGATCCAGACCTCATTCAAGACCGTGGGCAGGGACCCCCTAGCCCCTCCTGATGTCTTCTAGAGCCGTTTGAAGCATTCCTACTGTGCCTGCGCCTGAAGGCAAATTTGCACTCCTGAGTCAAGCTCCTATTTCCTGAGGCAAAAGCCACATCATCAAATTTTCCTGACAAGTGCTGCTTGAATGTATAGGGTTAGTGGAGCTTACCATAGAAAGATGTATCGTGTTGTTGCTTCATCTGCTGGACGTGAGATGCTTGGATGGATGGATGGATGCCTGGGTTTGGAAAGCATACCGTATAAGCTTACTATCTTCCTCTTCCAGGCAAAACTTGATTCAGGCTGGCTCTCTATACTGCAGTAGTCAGATAAGCATGCAAATTACATCTCAAGTTGGTTGGCTCATCATGTATGCATCCACCCCTAGCCCTAACCTCATCATAAGCCTATAATTTTGTACTTGTTACCGGTACCGGTAGGTCACCTTGTTACAAGTCACGCACAACACCTCCTCAAGTAGCTGTCCCTTCCTCCCTTCCTCTGCTCTCCCTCCTCTCCTCTCTCCTTCTACCTCTCCTCTCTGCTTCTTCCCCTCCTCTCTCCTTCCTCTCCTCTCTCCGTCCTCCTGACCTCCACTCTCCTTCTCTCCGCCTCTCTCCCTCCTCTCCTCCTCTCTCCTTCCTCCTCTCCTCTCTCCTTCCTCCCCTCCTCTCTCCTTCCTCTTCTCTCTCCTTTCTCCTCTCTCCTCTCCTTCCTCCTCTCATCTCTCCTTCCTCCTCTCTCCTCTCCTTCCTCCTTTCCTCTCTCCTTCCTCCCTTCCTCCTCTCGCCTTCCCCCTCTCGTCTCGCCTTCCTCCTCTCCTCTCTCCTTCCTCCTCTCCTCTCTCCTTCCTCCTCTCCTCTCTCCTTCCTCCCTTCCTCCTCTCGCCTTCCCCCTCTCCTCTCTTCTTCCTCCTCTCCTCTCTCCTTCCCCCTCTCCTCTCTCCTTCCTCCTCTCCTCTCTCCTTCCTCCTCTCCTCTCTACTTCCTCCTCTCCTCCTCTCCCCTTCCTCCTCACCTCCTCTCCCCTTCCACCTCTCCTCTCTGCTTCCACCTCTCCTCTTTCCTTCATCATCTCCTCTCTCCTCTTCCCCCTCTCCTCTCCCCTCTCCCCTCCCCTCCCCCTCCTCCCCCCCGGTCTCCTCCTCCTCCCCATCCCCCTCCCCTCCCGGAACAACCTTCGCCACATCCACTCCAAACATGCCACGTCAGCATGCCCATGCAGCTCCACGTCATCCCATCACCACTTAAGATGAACCAACTTCTTCACTCCCCCCTCCCCTTCCTGCATCAGCTCGCCTGCACGCCTCCACCCATGCATTCCACGTCCCCTCCAATCATGCCACGCCAGCTGGCACTTCCAACTCAGCATTTCAGCATCAGCATTTCAACCTCCACCCAATATCACCCACTCATCCTCATCTCATCATCACCGCTTGATGTTTAGCAATTCCTTAGCCTCCTCCTCCTCTTTCACCAGCTCCGTGCTCGCGTACTTACTTAAGAGCTCCGCCTTCTTTTTCGCCACCACCATTCGCTCAATCTCCTTCTCGTCAGGCAGCGGCACGTGCGCCACGAACCGCCGCCCGCCCACCGCATCCAGCGCCGCCTCTTCCGCCGCGTCTAACGCCGCCTCCTCGCGCCTCGCGCGCTCCGCCGCTGTCTCGCGATCCTCTTCCGTCTCCTCCTCGCCCGCTTCCTCTCTCTCCTGTGCTATGACCCCGCGCCGCTCCCGCGATTCCCGGGTCTCGATCGGAGCGCCGAGCTCGTCTAGCAGATCCGTCTGTACCCGGATCGAAGCTTCCTCCCCGCTTTTCACGGCGCGGCGAGCCTCAGCTTTAACAGCTTCGAGCTCCTCCCACTCCCGCACTGCCTTCTCTATAATCTCCCGCTCGGCCTCCGTCTCGAGCCGCACCAAGATCCCGTCCTCCTCGTCCCTGTACCCGTAATAGTCCATATCGATACGCTTATAAAGCTCGTACCGGTTCCGCTTCTTAGTCGGCGCCGTCGGCTTCTCGAAAAGTTCGCGAACGCCCGGCAGGTTCTTCGCAGCGCCGAAGTAACGGTAACCAAGCCCCTTGCCGGTCGCGGAACCGGCCGGCAGCTCGTCGTCTCCATCGCCGACTTCTTTGCCGTCCGCGTCAGTTATTTTAGGCCCTTGTTTCGCGTAGTTCGGACCGCCAAGCTCAACTATCCGTTTCTCCCAGTGCCCTTTCTCCCGTATAAGCTTGTTAATCTCGTCGTTAAGATCCTTAATTCGGTGCTCGCCTAAACCGGGGTTCTGAATCTCGGTTACTCGCCGTCCGATCTCGCGCAAGATCTGCTGCCGCCATTTGTCGGCGTCTGATAGGTCGCGGCATTCGGACGCGAGGAACGGGCGCTTCTCCCGCGGCTTGCGCTTCTCGTCCTGCTTCGCGGCCCAGAAGCGATTCAGCACGGCGTTCGCCTTCTCCTCGTTACGCGCCATGGCTGCAGGCCGTGCTAGGTGGCGGCGCGAAGCTGGAAAATGCTTTCAAAAAAGTAACTGAAAGGTGGTCGTGAGTCATTTGTTAAAAAAATCAATTTTAATATTTTCAATTTAAAATCAGCCGCCCTAGCTCAGTTGGTAGAGCGCAAGGCTCTTAACCTTGTGGTCGTGGGTTCGAGCCCCACGGGCGGCGCTACGTCTGTTGAGAGTGCCGTCGCTGCCCCTTTTGGCGGTGTCGTCGTGAATTCGTTTTCGTCGCACTCAGACGGTTCGCCATTCACGACCAGCAATTCTCTAGGTTAACCCTGCTACCTCTCTAGTCATTCTCATAATCAGAAGCTGAGAGGTTGAGTTCTAGAATCGATATAGATTCTATCCCGTAGTTCTGGCCTGCTCTCTCTCATCACCCTAATCGTTGCTTGATTTCGCCGCGCGATCCCGTCTTACATGTAGCTTGACATAGCCACTTTATACACCTTTGGGTGATTATATTTGGAAACATCAAGTTTATGATCGCTGCATATGCGACTTGTGTCAGCCTGAGAGCCTGTCTCACCGTTGTCTCACTGTTTTGTAGCTCTTCTCTGACGTAGCTAACCCATCCTAATTAGTTAGACCTCTGCAATTTTCGATAGCTCTTTCCACGAACTTTCTCAAGAGTTTGCCAGTGTTGCCATTTTAGTAACAAATCCGTAGAATTCATCATTGTAGGTATCATCGAGTTTGGGAAATTCTTTAAATACATAGTTGGACATACTAATCCAACTAGGCATCCGGCAGGATGAGGAAGACCAAGGGCGGGCGGACGATGAATCCGACGGACTCGTTCCGCAAGGAGCAGCGGAAGCGCGAGATCAAGAAGAACAAGGTGGAGCGCCGCAAGGTCCGCGAGACCGGCGTTCTGCGCAGCGACCCGGCCGCCATTCGCGAGCAGATCGCGAAGCTCAACGCCGCCAGTGCGTCGTCTCTCCCTTTCCCCCTCTCCCTCTCTCTCCCTCTCTCTCCCTCTCTCCCCGCCCCTCTCTCTGCCGCCATCCCCTTGTAACTCGTTGTGAACCCGCGATATGGCTCTCGGTAAACCGCATCCATTCGCGAGCAGATCGCCAAGCTCAACGCCGCCAGTGCGTCCTCCCGCGTCCTTTTTTTTCTATGACGTATTTCCCATGAAATCATGAGTCCGACGCCGCGACTCGGCGTCCATACGCGAGCTGATCCGGATGTCCTTTTTCTCATTCTTATGTCTTTCCACTTTTCTTTCTGTGCAACTTCCCCTTCTTTTCCTTCTTTTCGTCCGATCTTCGAGAAGAACCGGAGCCACAAGCTGAGGCAGCTGACGAGGAGAGGAGACCCTTCATTAGACCCTTGTTAGACCCTAGCGTGCGTGTGTGCGCCGTGTGCTGCGCACGCATGGTCAACGCAGACCCAGAAGGGCCGATGGAGAAAAGTAGGATTACAAGCTGAGGCAGCTGAATAATGTTGCACAGAACCTTATTTTTCTGTGCTGTGTGCTGTGTGCTATTGGCCGTGTGCTGTGTGCCGGGCCGTGTGTGCCATTCGTGCTGTGTGTGTGCTGTGTGCTGTTTGCTGTGTGCCGTGTGCTCTGTGACTGGCTGTGAATGCAGAGTCAGAGGGGCCAATGGAGAAGACGCGCAAGCACAAGCTGAGGCAGCTGGAGGACCGGTTGCAGCTGGTGCTGAAGAAACGCAAGGTGAGTGATGGCGGCGGGAGAGCAGAGGAAAAGAGAGTGGGGGGAGTGCGAGGTGTTAAGGGATGGTGCTGGGCTGGGTTGGGCTGGGCTGGGTTGGGTTGGGTTGGGTTGGGAACATTGTGTTGATTTTTGGGGCGCCGCAAAAATCACCTCAGTGCTGGGCTGTGCTGGGTTGGGTTGGTTTTGGAACATTGTGGTGGTGAAAGGAGAGAGTTAGTGACTGCTGTGTTGAAGGTGCCTTATGTCTCTTGAAGGTCTAAGAAGAAATTAATTGTTGATTTGGCTCTAAGAGAAAGAGGTTGATTTGGCTCTAAGAGAAAGAGGTTGATTTGGCTCTAAGAGAAAGAGGTTGATTTGGCTTTAAGAGAAAGAGGTTGATTTGGCTTTAAGAGAAAGAGGTTGATTTGGCTGACTTCACCTCGCTTCACAGACTTGCATTTGAGTCAGATTTCCCCATTCTGAGTAGTCTGTTATGTGAATTTTACTTTTGAGAATCTCAAAAGTAAAATTCACAGAGTTGCATTTGAGTCAGATTTCCCCATTCCGAATAGTCTGTTTCTTCCTTCTCCATCCCTGCCCCTTCTCCCGCCTCCCCATATTCCCACCCCTTCCCACCCCTTCTCGTCCCTTCCCAGCCCGCCCTCCCCCCTTTTCCCGCTTCCCCTCGTTTGCGCAGGAGTTTGAGCAGAAAATGAGGGAGCGGGGAGAGGACCCAGTCATGATCAACCCACTGCCTTCTCACTCACTCTTTCTCTCCTTCTCTCCCGTCCACTGCTGTGCCCCTCTCTGAGCAGGAGTTTGAGCAGAAAATGAGGGAGGGGGGAGAGGACCCAGTCATGATCAGTTCAGCCCAGTGCCTCCGCACACACTCTTTCTCTCCTTCTCTCCCGTCCACTGCTGCCCGCCGCTCTCCTCTCGTCCCCTCGTTTGAGCAGGAGTTTGAGCAGAAAATGAGGGAGCGGGGAGAGGACCCAGTCATGTTCAGGTGACCTTTGGTCAGAAACCCTCTTTGCCTCCTCACTCTTTCCTTCTCTTCTTTCTATTCTCTCCCATCCACTGCCCCTCTCCCCCCTTTCTTTCCTCCCCTTGTGCGAGCAGGAGTTTGAGCAGAAAATGAGGGAGCGGGGGGAGGACCCAGTCATGTTCAGGTGACCCTTGGTCAGAAACACCTACCCCTTGTACCCTTTACAAGCTGCCTGCCTCAGCACACAAGAGAAACACCTCTTCGTTGCAGCGATCTCTCTGCTCAATATTCGCTGCCACTCGCACTCTCACTTCCGGACACTGGCACTCCATGTTTCGTGCTGCCTCCGCTTCCCCTCTCCCTTTCCACTCGCCACTTAACTAAGTGCAGCCTCTTCAGTGAGGCCTTGTTTTGTCACCCCTCCCCCCTCACCCTCCCCACTCCCCCCTCCCCCCTCCCCCCTCAATCCTCCCCAACCCTATTCTAATTCACTGCGCAACCTCTCATTCTGCCTCTTGTCCCTGTTCTTCCCATTAACCACCAAACTAACTACCACTTTCTGCTCTCGCCCTTCCTCCATGTATTCCCCCTCGTTGCGTTCTTGCCCATTCTCCCCTTCCAGCCATCTCACTGCCCCTCGCAAGTCCGCCAACGAAGCCATCAGGAACCTTCGCCCAGAGGTGCGTGTGTGTGCAGCTTAAGCAATAGGTGATGCTGAGGAGGAGGGGGAGAGGAGGAATTGGCAGGGGGAGGGATTGGGTTGGGGAGTGTGGGGTGATGAGCGGGGTATGGGAAGAGGGTGGGGAGAGGAGGGAGGCGAAAGGCGGTTGCGGGGAAAGGCGGTTGCGGGGAAAGGCGGTTGCGGGGAAAGGCGGTTGCGGGGAAAGGCGGGTGCGGGGAAAGGCGATTGCGGGGAAAGGCGGGGGGATTGGATTTGTTCAGTGTTTGCCAACCTCCCAGCATTGTGGGGTGCAGTGTGATTTACCATCTGTGCTTTCTGTGTTTGCCACTCAAGTCCTTGTCCGTTTGCCATGTAAGTGCCTTGGAGCCAAGACTATGAATTCATCCCGTCATCCCCACCCAGAAGCACACCCCAGCCCATGCATGCATATGACATACTCGATTATGGCCAATCCGTGAGTTGTTAGGCGTCGCAGAACTTGAAAGTCTATTTTGTTAAATAATCCCGCTTGGAATTGATTCATTTGTCTTTTATAGCCGGCTTATATTCTGCCTGTATCGCAACCCTGTTGTTCCTTCCTTTGCCAGGATTCCGTATACTATCATCCAACCTTGAACCCTTCGGGCCAGCCCCCGCCAGGGAAAGCCCCCATGTATCGCCCCTCTCTCTGTGAGTGTGCAGCCGTGACGAAGTGACTTTTGAGTCGACTCAAAAGTCGTGTCGCCCCTCTCTCTGTGAGTGTGCAGCCGTGACGAAGTGACTTTTGAGTCGACTCAAAAGTCATATCGCCCCTCTCTCTGTGAGTGTGCAGCCGTGATTTGTTTACCTGAACGCCTACATGTCTCGTTACTGAATAACACTCACCACCCACTCCTCATCACTCGCGGTCGTCTGTCCCATCTTTGCCGTCCGTTCCTTGCCTCTCCCCTCGTCTGGGTTCCCAACAATGAGCAGCAAGAACCTCAGCAGGGCACGGGATAGGGCAGAGTGCCTGCTTGGGTGTGTCTGGTTACTGCGTCGCATCCCACACTCACTCCTCATCCCCGTCCTACATCTGTCCCATTCTCTCCTTGCCTCTCCCCTCGTCTGGGTTCCCAACCATGAGCAACAAGAGCCTCAGCAGGGCACGGGATAGGGCAGTGCCTGCTTGGGTGTGCTATATTGGTGCGACTTTTGAGACAGGCACCCAACCAGTCTCAAAAGTCGCACCCCCAGGAGCAGGGCACGGGATAGGGCAGTGCCTGGTTGGGTGTGTCTGGTTACTGCATTGCATCCCACGCTCGAGTTTTGAGTCGACTCAAAAGAGTCGAGTTTTGAGTCGACTCAAAACTCGACTCATTACACAAGAGCCTCAGCAGGGCACGGGATAGGACAGTGCCTGCTTGGGTGTGCTATATTGGTGCGACTTTTGAGAATTCTCAAAAGTCGCACCCCCAGCAGCAGGGCACGGGACAGGGCAGTGCCTGCTTGGGTGTGTCTGGTTACTGCATCGCATCCCACACTCACTCCTCATCCCCCTCCCACATACATCCCACCTCTTTCCCATCAAACATGAGCAGCCAGACCCTCAGCCGGGGGTGGGTCAGGCGAAGGGGAAGAGGAGGAGGATGAGGAGGAAGATGATTCGATGGATGAAGATGAAGAGGAGGAGGACGACGAGGAGGCGGAAGAGGGATGTCTGATAAGTGAATAGGATAATTCCACTCACTCCTCTCCTCCTCCCCTCCCTCTCCTGTCGTGTTTTTGCCCTTCTCTCCTTGACTCTCCCCTCATTGGAGCAGCGAGACCCTCAGCAGGGCATGGGTCAGGCGAAGAGGAAGAGGATGATGAGGAGGAAGAAGATTCAATGGATGAAGACGAGGAGGAGGAGGATGAGGAGGAGGAAGAGGGGGAGGGGGAGGGGGAGGGAGGGGAGGGAATGCATGGTACAGGGGGAGCAGGGGGGGCAGCAGGGGGAGCAGCAGCGGGAATGGTTCCCCTTCCCCCGCCTCCTCCGCCTCCCCCTCTTCCAGACGCGCACACCCTCCCCCCAGGCGTCCCCATGCCTCTCCCCATACCTGTCCCCGTGCCCCCACCTCCCCCCGCCCCCCCTGGCATGGCTCCCCCGAGTTTCCCCCCCGAATTCCGCCCCCCTCACTTGCAACAGCCTCCCCCTCCTCCCCCCCGCGCTGGCTTTCCCCCTGGGATGCGCCCCCCTCCCCCTCCCCCCCGACCTGGGGCAGGGGGAGGGAGGGGAGCGGAGGGGGGAGGGGAAGAGGAGGAGGATGCTAGGCCTCCTGGGGTTGAGATGACTGGTCCGCCTGCTGCTGCTGCTGCTGCTGCTCCGGGTGCTGGTGCCGCTGGTGCCGAGGGGAAAAGAATCCCCCCTCCCCCTCCTCCCCGTCACCACCTCCCCTTGGGATCCGCCCCCCCCGAATCCGGCCCCCCCTCCCGTCCCCCTGGTGTTCCCCCTCCCCCTCCCCCCCGCATCACCCCCGGAGCTCCCCCTTCCGCCACTCCCCCCAATCTCCCCCCAGGCATGCGCCCACCTGTTTTCCCCCCACCAATGACCCCCCCAGGAGCCCCCCCTGGGGGTCCCCCTGGTACCCTCCCCCCTCCGCCTCCCCCCCGCCCCATAGGGGGAGTTTCCCCCGGCCCTCCCCCCAGACCCATGGGATCCGCGCCCCCATCCATGCACCCTCCCCCCGGCCCTCCCCCCGCACACCTGCTCCGCCCCCAACACCCTTCCCCCTCCCCTGGCGCTCCCCCAGGCGCCCTAGTCCCCCCCGCCCATCTTCCCCCAGGCATGCGCCCTCCCCCTGGCCCTCCACCTGGTCGTCCGCCTATGGGCCTGGGGGGAGGACCGGGGGGGGGCATTCCCCCCCCGCCTCCCCCTGGGATGAGACCCCCCCCAGGCCCCCCCCCAGCAGCAGCACTTGCCGGTGTGGGTGGGGGGATGGGAGGAGGAGACGGGGGAGGAACGGAAGCAGGAACGGCAGGGGGAGGGGGAGCAGGAGGAGCAGGGGGGGCAGGGGGAGCGGGAGGAGCAGGGGGAGGGGGAGGGGCGGAGGGTAAGCCTACTCCCGCGTATGTGAAGGTGGCAGCTCCGATGGTGGTGAAACGACCCCTGGCACAGCACACACCGGAGCTCACTGCCATGGTGAGAGCACCTTCATGCGAGCATGTTGTGTGTGGGGTGAGAGGGGGGCGGGTGTTATGTGTACATGTGCTCCCGGGAGGGTCAGCTCATTCCAGCGTATGTGAAGGTGGCGGCACCAATGGTGGTGAAACGACCCCTGGCACAACGCACACCGGAGCTCACTGCCATGGTGAGAGCACCTTCATGCCTGTGCCCCCCTTGTGCACTGCGGCCACTCCAGCGTATGTGAAGGTGGCAGCACCAATGGTGGTGAAACGTCCTCTGGCACAACACACGCCTGAACTGACTGCCATGGTGAGAGCACCTTCGTGCGAGCATGTGTGTGTGCGGAGGTGTGGTTGGAGGGAGGGGAGGTGGGGGAGGGGGAGTTGGAAAGTGGGACGAGGCAGTTTCGCTTTTGAAGCTTTTGAGTCGAGGCTGTAGGCTCTTTGAAGCCCAAGCCAAAGTCTGTTACTGCTGCTGCTGCTTTTGAGTCGATTCAAAAGCTGTTGTTGCTGCTGCTGCTGCTGCTGCTGCTGCTGCTGCTGCTGCTGCTGCTGCTGCTGCTGCTGCTGCTGCTGCTGCTGCTGCTGCTGCTGCTGCTGCTGCTGCTGTTGTTGCTGCTGCTGCTGCTGCTGCTGCTGCTGCTGCTGCTGCTGCTGTTGTTGCTGCTGTTGTTGCTGCTGCTGCTGCTGCTGCTGCTGCTGCTGCTGCTGCTGCTGCTGCTGCTGCTGCTGCTGGTGTTGCTGCTGCTGCTGCTGCTGCTGCTGCTGCTGCTGCTGCTGCTGCTGCTGCTGCTGCTGCTGCTGCTGCTGCTGCTGCTGCTGCTGCTGCTGCTGCTGCTGCTGCTGCTGCTGCTGCTGCTGCTGCTGCTGCTGCTGCTGCTATTGATTGCCCCTCACCCTCCTTGTGTATCTCCCTGTCTCTCCCCTCCCTCCACCATTCCTCTCCACAACCACCAGGTCCCAGCGTCCGTGCGGGTGAGAAGGCAAGAGGCACTAATCAACCCCAAGCCAAAGGTTTCTGGTGCTGCTGCTGCTGCAGAAGCTGATTTTTTGTTGCCTTGTCTATCCCTCACTCTCCCCTCCTCTCCATCACTTCACACAAACTCCCTTCCATCCACCACTCCACTCCACACCTCCAGGTTACAGCAACTGTGAGAGTAAGAAGGCAGGAGGCTTTGATGAAGCCCAAGCCAAAGGCCACTGCTGCTGCTGTTTCCCCTCACCCTCCTTGTGTATCTCCCACCCTCTCCTTTCCCTCCACCACTCCACTCCACACCACCAGGTCCCAGCGTCCGTGCGGGTGAGAAGGCAGGATGCACTGATGAAGCCCAAGCCAAAGGCCGCCACTGCTGCTGCTCGGGCTGCTCCTGCTGCTGCTGCTGCTACGCCTGCCGCCGCTGCTGCTGCGCCGAATAAACCAGCCAGTATTGACGACTCGTATTCTGCTTTTATGGAGGAAATGAAGGAGCTGGGTGCCTTTGAAGGAGATGAGAGCTAGCAGCACTGCTCGCCCCCCCCTCCCTCCTGCCCTGGCCACTGCTGCGGCTGCCGCTGCCGCTGCCGGTGCTGCTGCTGCTGGAGCGCCGATTCATTTTCTGCTTTTATGGATGAAATGAAGGGCTGGGTGCCTTTGAAGGGGACAACAGCTAGTACTGCTGCTGCCACTGCTGCTGCTGCCACTGCCACTGCTGCTGCTGCGCCGAGTAAACCACTGAGTATTGACAATTCCGCTTTTATTGAGGAGATGAAGGAGCTGGGGGCTTTCAAAGGGGATGAGAGTTAGTAGAAATGCTCACGTTGGGTGGTTTCTTGTGGACAAGCCTAATTGGTCGGCGGTATTATTGGAGGCCCTTCTTGTTTTAACCATCACTAGATACGCACTTACTGACAGAATTTGCACAGGTAGAAACAAAGTTCTGCTCTGATAACAGAGGCTTCTCTTGCATTTTGGGTCATCGAATGTTGGTAATGACGTGGTACACGGCTCATATTTGTAGCTCATGTAGTTTGTAACGCGGAAATATTTTTCCGAGGTTCTTCACATAAATCTTCACTCTCAGTCTTTTTTCAGACCAATGATTCTTGGCAGCAACACCTGCCAATGGCGGCGCTTTCACCGCCATTTATTGTGCTCTCGCGGTCACTTCCAAATGCCGCGGCGCTTTCACCGCCATTTATTGTGCTCTCGCGGTCACTTCCAAATGCCGCGGCGCTTTGCGTCACGAGCGCTGTCGGATCCGCGTTTCATGTTCCACCTTTTGCGTTAATCGAGTCTGTCGCGCCTGTCGCGCTGCTTACGCCGATCGGCGCAAGCGCGCCCCTGCGACTACTGCGGAGTTCGCGGCGAAAGAGTCCTACGCGGCGGCTTGCGCATGCGGGCGCGATGCGCGATCCGCTTCTGAAGCGTGGCTCCGCTGCAGTTTGCGGAGCGGTGGCTGCTAAAGCGGCCGCGGGGGGAGACGGCGGAAGGAAACACGAGGGGAGTGAAGCCCCCGGGGAAAAATGCGCGCAGGGCAAAGGCGCCGGGGGGAAAGCCGTGGCGGGGAAAGGCGTTAAGGGGGAAGGCTCCGGAGACGAAGAGTTGAAGGGGCTTAGGAAGACGGTTAGCGGGAAGAATCTACGTGAAACGAAAGAGAAGGAGACGATGCTCAAGGAGAGGCAGACGACGGAGAAGAGGCAGAAGAGGGAGAAGAAAGCGAATAAGGGCAAGAAGGAGAAGAAGGAAAAGAAGGAGAGGGAGGAGAAGAAAGAAAAACTTCAGCGAGCGAAGACTATGGAGGAGGGTGACGGTGCGGAAAGGCTTCTGAAAGGAAGGGCCGCGGAGGAGGGTGTTGCGGGAAGGGGCGGCGCGGAGGAGGGAGATGAGGCGCAACCTTCCGGAGCGGAAGCCTCGCGGAGGGGAAGAAGTTCAGCGGAGGATTGTGCGAAAGAGGAACCCCTCGAGCGCTCCTGGCGCACCGTGTTTTCTGCTGCTTCCTCCGCGGATCGCTCACCCAAACCCTCCCGCGGGCTCCTCACCGACCCTGACCCCGTCCCGATCCAAGGCAGCAGGCTCGGGAACGACTCCGCCCCGAACCAAAGCCTCAGCTTCGGCGCTGCTGACTTCGCTCCGGACCAAAGCGGCAGGTCCGGCGGCGGGTGGTGTGGGCTGTGCGGGGACGGGTCGGGATGGGTGCAGTGCGGTGCGTGCGACGGGAAAGGCGCGTATGCTACGGCTCCTGGGCTGGGGGGAGTGAAGGGAAAGGTTGGATGGGCGTTGTGCAAGACTTGCTATGGGTGGAAGGCGACTCCTTGTGTTCTGTGCGCTGTTAGCGGCGCGGAGGAGTGGTTGCAGTGGCAGGAGCATGCTATGAGGCACCCTGTGAAGGTGAAGATTGGGGGAGAGGAGGTGGGGAGGACAGGAGTGGAGGAAAGGGAGATGTGAGTGAGAAGGGTGGGATGAGTGAAAATGGCGGAGGAATGAGCAAATATGGAGGAGTGTGGCACAGTGGAGTGTTGGGTAGAGATGGAAGAGGCAAGTGGAGAGAAGAAGGCAAGTGGAGAGAAGAAGAAGGCAAGTGGAGAGAAGAAGAAGGCAAGTGGAGAGAAGAAGAAGGCAAGTGGAGAGAAGAAGAAGGCAAGTGGAGAGAAGAAGAAGGCAAGTGGAGAGAAGAAGAAGGCAAGTGGAGAGAAGAAGAAGGCAAGTGGAGAAGAAGAAGAAGGCAAGAAGGAGAGAAGAAGAAGGCAAGTGGGAAAGATGAGGAAGAGAAGGTTAGGGGGTGATGAGACGGTGAGGAGCAAGGAGGGAAAGAGCGAGAACGAGGAGGAGGAGGAGAGGAGGAGAGGAGGAGAGGAGGAGGACGAGGAGAGGAGGAAGCAGAAGAAAAGTTTCTATGCATGCAGTTCATGGTGAGTGGGTGTGGGGCGGCTGATTTGGGAGGAGGGGGGTGAGAGTAACAGGATGGAAAGGTGAGCCTTACACTGTTACACATGGAAGGGAAGAGAGGCTTTATCAGTCGTGATCATCGTTGGCCTTCTGAGGCATTTCAAGAAGCACATGGAGGGAAAGGGATGCTTGCTGCTGAAGTTATTGCTGTTGGCTTAACAGTTGGCCAAAAGCATATCAATCCATGGCATGGGAGGGAAAAGAAGGGCTGCAGCAGGAGAATTTGCTGCTGGCTCCGATACAACCCTCCTACAGCAATTCCACAGACACCAGCCCGTTCATGCCTCTTTACATGCTTCTTTTCCTCCTCTCTCTTTCTTTTTCATTCATTGAGAAAGTGGAAATAAGGACATGGGGAAGAGGAGAGGAGGTAATGGAGGTTGGACTTTGGGTCTGTGGTTTGAGGTTTCTGATGACTGCCCCAGAAAAAAATACTCGTGCGGACAGATACGGGCCTTACATTGACTTTATCGTGTACATGCGTTGTATAGTTTTTCGCTACATGCTTGAAAGAGACATATGGCGCACACAAGGGTGTCATCATGCACCGGTGTGTCTTGTGTTTCACACATGCTCTGCATTTTTGTTTGAAGTCAGGTCTGGTGCTTCGTGGAGGAAGTGGGGGATTCTCGTTGCTCCTTGACGATAAAATATGTTGCTCAAATGTTCCGTTTAATTGGTCGAGACCCTTCTTCAACATCGCTCAGCATAAGGTGTGTGTCGGGTCTACATGTATAGAAAATCCAGTCTGCTCTGCATTGGATTGTTGTGTATGTCTTGATTTTCTTACACATGGGGTCTTAATTGAAAATGCTTAGTACAACTAGGTTGGAAGTTCATATTTACCTAAAGCGCAGCCACCAAATTTTGAAGTGTAGCTTTTGATAAGTTTCGTTACTATGTGTGTATTCGTGGAAATAACTGCCAGTCAAGGAAAAACGACAAGGGACGGTCAATGTCCGCCACGGACAGGTGACTGGAGCGGTGGTTTTCGCTGACGATGCACGCGGCCATAGAGGTGGTCCAGGGCCTCGGCCCTACGAACACTCGCGCAGGAGAATGACAGCCAGTATTCGTGCAGTGTGCACCCAGATAGCTTCCGTGCCAGCAAGGCGCCAGGCAGGCTAGTTGCGGAAGGTCGCTCGCTTGGCAGCCAGCAACACATTTTCGGGGAATCTCCGAAGTTGAGCAGAAATCGCCTAGCCCATCGAGAGTTGCCCAGCTCGACCTGAATGGCCACAAACAATTGTGGTGACAGCACAAGAAACTGGGATCCGCCAATCCAATGTCTATCGCTAAATAATATTTCCGAAGCACAACTAACACATTGAACCAAAACACATTGTACAACCCATGCTAAAATGCATAATGCATTATATACGTATAATATCTACTGTAATGAAACTACCAAGCCAATCAAGCCTTAATACCCTTGTGGGAATTCTTTCCCTTCATGTGCTCCAACAAACGTCCAATCATGCTATTACTGCCGCTCAAAAAAGTGCCACCCATAAAATTCGCGGCCGCTTCATGTCTTGCCATGGCCCTCTCGACGCCGCGCTTAAACTCCTCCTGCGCCGCCCACGCGTCCGCAGCCGATTTCTTAATGCATTTGCGCGATTCCTCGATGTGCGTTGCGCTCAAAGCCTCGCGAATTTCTGCGCAAGAGGGAAACGGAACGCTTAGAGCACAACCATGACATATCATAACATGAATAAAATACAACTCGGACGAGCATTCAAGACCATTTCACTAGTAGAGCCTTACCTTCAACAGAAGGCTTCGGAATATAGTTCGTTTGTCGTCCATGCCGCCAGCAGTGCCATTCCGCCCACTCTGCTGGTTTCCGCAGCGCCAGCGGAGCCGTATCACTTCGATCCAGATCGGCACCTTCCACCGCGTTGCTAGCACTATTAGCGACGGCGGAATCATCGGAGGCGAGTCGAACGACTCTTGAGTCGTTAAAATTCGCGAACCTAAAGTCACCAAAATCGGAGGTCCCTGCATCGTTTGGCTCCGCGGCAGGGTCTGACAAGTCACGGGGAAAGAGTCTTGGCGTGCCTGGATCCTCGAGCTGCCCCGCTGGACTTTGCGGAAACGCGAACTCGCCGCTGCCAATGGAAACGCTGCGATCATAGAACGAAGACGACGGCCCATCGGAAGGGGAACTGGACGAGCTGGGCGTCGACACGCTACGGAAAACTCGCGGAGAGCGCGGATTAACCATCTGGACACCACGTACTAAGCGCTACTAAAAGATCTGACGATTAGAGGTGATGTTGGATGAGGAGAGAATACCAGAGCATGAAAAGATGAGTGTTAGAAAAGCTGACATCAACTTGCCCTTATAGCTGGGTTGAACGACATACAATTCGAAATCAGGCTGATTTGGCTGCAGGAGGTAGTGTGGTGTGGTTCGGTGAATTGCCGCTGGACGAAAGCAAGACGAACGCGCGCGAGGTGACGTGGTGGGTTGGTTGGATAGGAAGGGGGGCCTTTTGCTCGGCCTCGAGCCGAGGGGGCTCTGGTTGGTGTTGGTCCATCCGCAGGCACCCACCGACGCGGAGCGGTCCTGGTGGAGGAGGCGATGCGAGATTGCGCAAGAGGGTTTCACCCGAGAAAACGAACGGCCGAGTGTGGTTGGACATTGGTCAGGCAACACGACAAGGACGAAAAAGAGGGGGGGGGGGGAGGGGGGGAATTGTGTTGTGTACTGTGTGGACCAAGCCACATTGTCCACAGTGAATGCTGTGGAAACTTCGAAAGCTTGCAACTGCCTGCACTCAGTACTGTAATTAGTCTTTGCAGTACTGTATTAGTCTTTTTTGCTAAACTCGGTATGCTGCCCGTGTTTCCCCACGGGCTACCTCCTGAGGGTTATTTGTTCAAAAGGACGATTCACGCTGACATCCGGGATTACAGGGATATTATTCGTGCACGCTGAACCGAGCAAAAACTGGTTGAACAGAGTTTCAATATGCAGGACATCCCTTGTGGGGTGGGGACTCAACAACGCAGAAACATCGACACTGTACATCGATTATTGGAACTGTAGGCTAATCTAATTTAGATGTACTGACTTCCACTTCCGCTGAGCAGCCACCCCACTTACGGCAAACGTCTGCCCTAGAGATTCTCGCGTCAGCTCCTGGGTAGCATAGCATAGCATCCCTGCGGTCTCGTTTAGCATCTGTTCAAAACACTGATGTCGAACTCTTAGGTGGAACGAATGACACGTCGGAATGAACACGTGGGATTCGACTTTGAGCAGCGCCAAAAGCGTGCTGGACATAGCCTCCAATTCCGACGAAGCATCCCTACTGTAGAGGAGCCAAGTTGCTCGACTGTGCAGGTGATTTGAGCGACTTCTGCTCTATAGCGCCACGCGCAGAAATCATGTTTGAATTGTTACTTTGCCTGCGCTGCGCGACGGGAATGGAAACTACACCACCCAGATCATATGTGCATGCATTCTGACAGCCAATTGTATTCCTTCTGTTCGGTCCAGGTAAAGCTATCAAAACATCCACAGTTGCCCTTTCGGGCAGTTGCGCTAGTGAAGCATGGGAATAGTGGGGTCTAAAGAAACCAAAACGTTCATTCTTATACGGTAGTTCCATTTGGACCAGTTTCAGTATATTTATCCTTGTCTATGGAAAATTCCTTTTCCTTACTTCGCGTCCGCGCTCAGCGCATACACCACTGTAGTACCACAGTCAGCACCGTTACCACTCGCAACCCTCGCATCGACAATCCTCCCGCCACCTTCGCACGTCGCACCTCGACCTCACGGCTCGGCGGGTAACCCGCGCTCCGGGCCTCCGCTTCGACATTTCCCCAACCTCATTCCCAGACCCGTCGCGCGTCAACCACAGACCATTACCGTTACCACAGTAGTTTCGCTATATATTCTTCGCTCATGCCTTCGCTTATTGTACTCTTGCTTCGATAGTGCGATTCTCGTTCGATCACTCAATTGCACTCGTAACACTTGGTATTCAGAGCCTACGATATCTTCTTGGACCGCACCCACACCTTCGCTTCCCCACTATCTCAATTTTTTGGGGGGGTAGACGTCTCTCAGCGACACAGTACCGCCGATCGTATAGCTCTCTCGTAAGCACGCACGGCCACGACACAGGCTATCGCTGAGCTTGCCCGACACCCCCGCAATGGCCGAATTTACCCTCGCGACGTTGACGCAGGAGCAACTCGATCGGCTCGTGCTCCAAGTCGAAGAATCGGCACTCGAAATTGCGACGCTCACGGCGGAACGTGACTCCGCGCGTCAGCAATCCACGATGAACATTCGGGCGCCACCACACGCACCTGCAAATGTACCTGCACAATCGGAGGAGTCTGTCGCCATTTCATCAGGCACACCGACACAGAACGACAGCGTGGGATAGCGCTCAGGCGCTGCCAGTGATGGCGCCGCCCACTCGATGCCGGGCATGGAGAGGAACAGAGTCGCGCCAAGCCCACGGGAGCGTGGTGAAGCCCGTCGGCAAGTGAAATTTGCGGCGACAAGTGGCGACCACGCCATCATGACGCCAATGCCACTGAAGCCGCAGCGCCCGCCCTATTTCAACCCGAGTCAACGTAGAGGTTGTCAGAATCCCAACCACTAGACCATTGGGATAAAAGGGCTTGTTTCAGTAGCGGGTTAGTGCGCCCATAACCCCCCAGGCAAACGTGTCTGTAACCCCCCCTAGGATCGATCGGGGATCTCACAGTGTAGCTCTACTGACACCCCCCCCACACTGGGAGGCCCAGGACTGAGCACAGAGGCAACGTCCAACATGTGCATACACCGGGATTCGAACCCGAGACCGCTCTGATACCATGTCAGAATCCCAACCACTAGACCATTGGGATAAAAGGGCTTGTTTCAGTAGCGGGTTAGTGCGCCCATAACCCACCAGGCAAACGTGCCTGTAACCCCCCCTAGGATCGATCGGGGATCTCACAGTGTAGCTCTACTGACAGAGGTCCGACAGTTTAGTCGTGGGTCTTCACGACGAACGTATTTTTCGTCGCAAACTACGTCGAGTCGGACGCATCGAAGATCAGATACGCCATTTCGTTGCTGAGGGGCCCCGCCATGGACTGGTGGCGAGTCATCGTTACGTCGCCACGCTGAGAAAGTTGGAACGAGAATGGAATGACTATGAACGAAGTGAGTACAAATAGGAAACCCTAGTTGGGTTGTACCCCCTATGGGATAACCCACTATAGCCTATACAAATAAGTAAGCTATAATATTCTGACACACCCCCATAGGCAAAGTGGGGGAGAACAAGGGGTCACAAGACCAGTCAAGCAAAGCAAAGCAAAGCTCAGGGTGGATCACAAAGTCACCACACATTCCGAGCACAAGTTCAAGGGCCACAAGGCCAGTTCACATGCAAGATCATATATAGAGATATACAAGAGTCAAGCAAGCAAGAACAAGAGTATATATAGGTCAAGGTACAAGCAAGGTCAAGAGGAGAGCAAGTGAGGCAAGACAGGCACAAGACCCAGCTGCGTGCAACAACGCTGATGATCACAAGGCGCAAGTGCCTTGGTGAAGACATCAGCAGTGTTGGCCTCAGAGGCCACGTACGCAAGTCGCAACTGTCCACGCTGCTGTAGCTCACG